TAGTTAGACTGCTGCTGAAAAAAACCTTCCTTGGTCCCCTGAACCTTAATAACTACACCCATTCTCTAACCTTCCTTTTTGTGGCAAAGTAATTGAGAATGCAGTGCCCCTCCAACTCCAGTCAGTCTTGGATGATACACACTTTCTTGATCTATTTCAAACCGGCTTCAGAGCAGAATACAGAGTTGAGACTGCTATGGTCGCTTTAGTGCAGTGGTTCTCAACCTGGGGTCCCCAGATGTTTTTGGCCTTCAACTTCCATAAATCCTAACAGCTGGCAAACTGGCTAGGGTTTCTGGGAGTTGTTGGCCAAAAACATCTGGGGTCCCCATGTTGAGAACCACTGCTTTAGTGGATGATCTCCGTCTCAACACCGACAAGTAGTTTGTGACCCTGTTGGTGGTTCTAGACCTCTCAGCTACCTTTGATACCATTGACCATGGTATCTTCCAGGAATGCCTGGAAAGGTTGGGAATTGGAGGCACTGTCCTCCTGCAGTGGCTCCGGTCATACCGCTTTGGCAGGTTCCAGATGGTGGTGCTTGGGGATAGCTGGTCCTCCAAAAAGGAGCTGTTATGTGGGGTCCCACAAAGTGTCATTCCATCCCCAATGCTCTTTAATTTTTACATGAAGCCGCTGGGAGAGATCATCCATAGGAATGCGGCAGGGTGTTTGATAACTGATGTATGCTGATGACACCCAAATATATTTCTCCATACTTTCAAAAACATCTTCAGCTAAGGATAGTGTGTCTCCTCTGAATGAATGCCTGGAAGAGGTAATGGGAAAAAACAAATGGAAACGGTATCTAGACAAAACAGAGGTTCTTGCCATCAAAGGCCCTAATTGGGGATGGAGGTGTGTTAACCAGTCCTGGGTGGGGTTACCCTTTCCCTGAAAGACTGTGTTCTTAGATTGGGAGTTCTCTTGGATCCATCTCTCCAAATGTCAGCCCAGGTAGATGCAACTGTCATGAGTGGAAATCATCGTTGGCTGATATGTCAGCTGTGCCCCTTCCTAGATTTGGAGGACTTGAAGATGATAGTGCATGTGTTGTTAACCTCAAGGTTGGACTTCTGCAATGTGCTTTACATTGGGCTACCCTTGTACCAAGTTCAGAAACTCCAGCTGGTTCAAAATACAGCAGCCATATTGGTTACGGGAACATCCAGGAGTGAACATATTACGCCTACCCTAAAGTCACTCTACTGGCTGCCAGTTAGTTTCTGGGCAAAGCACAAGGTGTTGGCTTTGACCTTTAAAGCTCTACATGGTTTGGGTTCAAGTTACCTACGGGATCACTACAGAGTCCCACCGGAAGTGCCCTGATGTCATGTGCTGCCCTATGTGAGACTCCCATGGGACTCCGCAGATGGAAATTGAGCCCGAAAATTGCCTGATGAGGTCCATAGATTGAATTCTTCCGAAATAGGAATCATGCTGGTTTGGGGGGGAAAAAGAGATGTAGTCCAAAAAAGTAACTTTCTCAAAATTTTGGTATGAAAGAAAGAGAAAAAGTCAACATATAGAGAGAAGCTAGGTTGAGACTATGCGGCCTGATGGCACAAGCAGAAAATTTGCAAGCCAGATTTGGTATATGGTTACCAGTATTGTGAGAGGATCTGGTTCACGTTCCTTGCATACAGTGTCAAGATTGTTAGTAAACAGTTTGTATGTGCAGATCAGTCTCATGGTACTAACGAAAGTACAGTGGACTGGATGAGAGTGAATAAACTGAAATTTAATCCAGGCAAGACAGGTGCCCTGGTCAGTTGGAAAGCAGATCAGGGAATAAGTATTCAGCCTGTGCTGGATAGGGTTACACTTAAAGATTCAGGTTCAGAACCGGGAGGGGGGCAGGGGGGCTGATGGGTTCAACCTTTCGCCTGGAAGCTCAGGATTTCAATAGCAAGGAGTGCATTTGCACAGTTGTGGCTTGTGCACCGGCTGCGCCCATTCCTTCAGATGTCAGATCTGGCCACAGTGACACATGCCTCCGTTATATCCCATTTGGATTATTGTGATGTGCCAGCTGCTCCAAAGAGCTGCAGCTAAATTACTAACTAGGGCTGGTTACAGGGAACCCACAATTTCCTTCACTGACTGCTGGCCCATTTCTGGGCACCATTGAAAGTGCTGGTTTTGACCTATAAAGCCCTATATGATTTGGGTCCAGATTATTTGTTTTACAAACTTGCCCATATTTTGGGCCAGAGATGCTCCTCCAAGGTGGCATTTGTTTTTAACTGGATTTAGTAATTATTTTAGTAGTTTAATCACTTTTTAACTTTTGCATTTTGTGGACTTTAATTAATTTTAAAATCCTATATGGCTTGGGCTATATGAAATCTCTGCTACAAACTTGCTTGGGCTTTAAGATTTGCAGGAGATACACTTCTTCTAATCCTATTGCCTTTGGAGGCACATTTGGTGAGGATGAAAGAACAGATTGTTCCAGGTGCTTCTACACTGCAGAATTAATGCACTTTGTTATTAGTATTATTGCCATTCCTCTGTCTACATAATCTGGCAGGTTATAGTTTTACAAGATCTGTAGCCTTCTCTGGCAAATATTTATTTATTTATTTGCAGTATTTATTTTCCACCCTTCTCACCTCGAAGGGGACTCAGAGCGAATCACAGAACATACATCGACGGCAAACATTCAATGCCATTTTATACACAAATACGTCAGACAATTGTACATGGATAGAGGTATATATATTGGCTTTCCCCATCTTTGACATCTTGGATGCTTTGTGCTCGGTTTTGGCCACCGGGGGGGGGGGGGGGGGCTGTTGCGCCATCTCTCTGCCGAAGATCTTGGTTCGTAACTTTGATCAAATCGCCAGCATTCCTTATGGGTGCCTCAGAATACCTCCCTACTTTTTAAAAGTGGTACCTATTTATCTACTCACATTTGCTTTCAAACTGCTAGTAGGCAGAAGTTGGGCTAAAGGCCAGGAGCTCACCCTGGCCCGGGCTTCAAACTGGCAGTCTTTCGACTCATAACGTTTGTCAGAAATATTAAAAATTAACTAGGTATTTTTAAATGTGAGTCAAGCATTGAAAGGGTTAAATGGATACAATGATTCAGCAAAAGCTGTAGTTCAGTATAAGCAGATGTGCCTATAGCTTAGTAGCCCTCAGTCTGTGACAGGTCTCTATGGGAGAAGGGCCTCAGTGTGTTAGTAGGTCTCAGCGTGAGAAGGCCTCAGTGTTAGTTCACCTCAGTGGGAGAAAGGCCTCAGTGTGAGAGAGCCCTCAGTGTGAGAAGGCTTCAGTGGGAGAAAGGCCTCAGTGTGAGGTAGGCCTCAGTGTTAGTAGGTTGCAGTTTGAGAAGGCCTGGTGTGAGAAGCTTCGGTGAGAGAAGCCCCAAGTTGAAGGCCATCATGTGTGAAGCTCCTGTGTGAAGACTGCTGTGTGTAAAAGCTAGTGTGTGAAGCTCCTGTGTAACTTCAGTGTGAGAGGAAGCTAAGCTATGTGAGAGCGAAGCTGTTTATCTGCGTGAGAAAGAAGCCCAGCGTGGAAGCTAATAAAGAACTTTACTTGTGTTATGAAAACCTTGTTCTTGTAAATAGTGCAACCATATTATTTTGCTATAAGGAAAAGCCTCCTATGGAAGAGATAAAATTGGTCTGTGTGTTTTTGTTCTTTTATCTCTTTGGGCTACTGATGCTGGGTCACACCAATAAGTTACTCTGCTGTATATTTATGAGTAGGGTCTTTTGTTAATAAGCCCACTCACCCAACAAAATTTACTGCAGCTAGTGGTTTAACCTGCTGTGCTAAGACCCGGCCCGTAGATTGCTGCCACCTCATCAAACTACAACTCCCAGGATTCCGTAGCATTGAGCCATTCAGTTAAAGTGGTGTAAAAGGGCCTTAATTGATTTTTTTTAAGTTTGTCACATATTAACAGTGTCTGCTCTCCTGCTCAGATCTTAACTTGGTGGGTCATAATAACTAAGCATGGATAGTCTGCTGCTTGGATATATAACATTCCTTGTGGGGTTAGAGTACTAGGAGCTGCCGTCTCTGTATTTTAAGAAATCAAAGGCCATAGCTGATGAAGAAATACCCTTTTTGGTTCAGCTGGAAAATGTCAGGAGAGGTTTCTGTATTTAAACACTAAGTTGTGGATTTGTTTTGTTTCTGTGTAGTCCTTTATGGCATGCAAGGCACAAGTGGGTTTTATGTGTGCCTTCTCTTTGCAAAAGCTTTTAAACTTGCAAGACACAGCTTCATTCTCTGCTTGTCTACATCTCAAATATTCTGCACTTTAAATTTTAAACATAGTTTAAGAGCTGGCTATTCAAAATTTAAACCCTTTTAAATAGCTTCTTATCTCTCTGAAAACTGACTGGAGATAACATCAGGGTTTCCTTGCACAGCTCAGAAAAAAGGGCTCATCTGGACTGACCAAAATCCTCAGGGATATTTATTGAGATTTAAGGAAAGAATCCGTATGACATTCCTTCTTTTCTGGTCTAGTTCTTGTGAATTTCCAGAACTAGCTGCAGGCTTTTCAAACTCCAGACTAAACATATACAGAACTCCCTAATCTGTTTTTCATTGGTCATGACTTACAATTGTGTTATGCTTCTGTTTCACTGACTTGGGTGTCTCTGCAGGGGAAAATGCAAGAATGTGCAGAGTTGTAAGTAAATCACTGGCAGGTGTTTATCACAAGAGCAGAACAGAGGTAAACTGCAAATATCACAGTTAAGCTGATGTCCTGAATTAAACATCTTACACAGGGAAACAAAGTTGTTATCTAAATGTTTTAACCAAGAAGATCTTTCAAATAGCATCCCGTTTTTAGGTGAGGAGATTCTGTTCACTTATTTGATGGCCCTTAAGTTAATGACTTGCAAAATATTGATCTAATTTGGCTTGTCCTTTTCTTTACTGTTTTCGTGCATTGAAACATAATCACTGACTATAATTTGGTGAACCTGATACAAATTATTTGTCCCCCCCCCCCCCCCCCCCCCCAGGTTTATGGCTACCAATGATTTAATGATGGAATTGCAGAAAGATTCCATAAAGCTTGATGAAGACAGTGAGAAGAAAGTTGTGAAAATGCTTCTGAAACTGCTGGAGGACAAAAATGGGGAGGTGCAGAATCTGGCTGTCAAATGGTAAGAGCTCTCTTACATCAGCAATAATAGTGTCTAGGAACCGATATAAAGCTACTGGGATTTTGTGGATTTTTTTGTGTACAACTCTTTTTGCAAGATGCAGATTCAATTTGTGATTTGCGGTGTTGCTTCCAGCCCCCATCTGTCCTTAAAGAAGTCATGCATGATCACGTCTGTGCTTGCACACACTTGCCTGCCTCTTTGTGTGTGCACAGCTGGGCCTTGGAACATAATAGTGAGAAATGTACAACACCCAGAATTGCAGAAATGGCCATGCTGGCTATAGAATCAAGAAAGTGATAGTTTAAACATCTAATGATTTCAAGATGCAGGAGGAATGGGCCAAAAGTATTGCAGCACAATTACGAGGCCTTCAAAAAGCCTATTGGACTGCCTTTCCCAGCATTCCTCACCATTGACTCTACTGTCAAGGATTGCTGGGAGTTGCAGAATTGAGATTGGTTCCAAACCTTGAGTAACATATAAATTTAGGGGCAGTCTTTGGTGCTAAATATTCTTTTTGGTTGTCTCATTCATGGGCCCTTCTTAACTACAGTAGAGTCTCACTTATCCAATCTTTGCTCATCCAGCGTTCTGTATTATCCAACACAGTTTACTTCCTGCCTGGATCCAAAGCTGTTTCACTACATTGCAATGTTTTGGTGCTAAATTCATAAATATAGTAATTACTACATAACGTTTCCGTGTATTCAACTGCTTTTTCTGTTGATTTGTTGTAAAACATGATTTTTGTGTTTAATTTAGAAAATCTTTATGTAGTTTGACATTTAATAGGCTTTTCCTTAATCGATCCTTATGATCCAACATTTTCACTTAATCCAACATTCTGCCATCCCGTTTATGTTGGATAAGTGAGACTGCTGTAATAATATGCATATCAGAAAATGGAGCATTAAGAAGGACTTGGTGCTGTGCTCCCTGTTCGTCACTTACTTAAAGGCCTCCCAGTGTTGCCTTCAAAACAATCTCAGACACTTTTTGCAAATTAGAATGGGGAAAGACAATTGGAAGGAAAGCAGGAAGTGTATATTGGCATTTTGGAAAGAGGGAGATTTGTGTTTGTCCTAAGCTTTGCTGGAAAGACTTCTTTGGGGACATTCTGCCTTTTCTATGTGATTTTTCTGTGTGTTCCTCCTCTTGCAGTTTGGGCCCTTTGGTGAGCAAAGTGAAAGAATATCAGGTGGAAACAATTGTTGATACACTCTGTACGAACATGTTATCAGATAAGGAACAACTCCGGGATATCTCCAGTATTGGACTGAAGACAGTAATTTCTGAGTTGCCTCCTCCATCTACAGGTTAGAAATGCAAACCTTCCTCTTTAGATGTTTCTGCCTTTCCCTCCAGCTCTATACCAGACAGGGTAATATATGGTGCTATATGGAATTTCTTTTCCAAATCCTGCCAGTTATAAAGAAAAATATATATCCTGAGCAAATAATATTCTTTCAAACATAATAAGATCAGGAAGTTTATTTGTTGTTTGCTATTTGAGGAAGTACAGAATTTAGCATGAGAAATGATGCAAGAAATGACATTGGATGTGTCAATAACATGTTTAATAACACAATAACACAACTGTATGCTTATTCTAATTTCCACACTTTCCCGTTGTTAGGTTCCACCATGACATCCAATGTGTGTAAAAAAATCACAGCCCAACTGACCGGAGCCATTGGGAAGCAAGAAGATGTATCTGTGCAGCTTGAAGCTCTTGACATCCTGTCAGATATTTTGAGCAGGTATGGAGAAAGTTTCCTTTTTAAAGCAGAAGTGTAGCATATTGCCTCCAGAGCTTGCTATGCAAAATGTTAAGGCAGGGATAGGTCTCCGAATATTTTGAGCTACGGTGTCAACCTCATCTAGCTCAGCCAATTGCAACAGATTTTATTTATTTATTTACTATATTTATATACCACCTTTCTCACCCCTGGAGGGATTCAAGGCGGTTTACAACATACTAATGGCAAAAATTCAGTTCCAACATGCATGTAGACAGATAAAAAAATCATAATAACTAAACATTAACATATAACTATAAATTGAAATAATTAAAACTATTAAACATGAGATATAAACAACATTGAAACATTAAAAAATCCATCTTAATATAAATATTAAAATCCCATGATCCAAAAATCATACACCTTAGCCGTTCCGATTGTCATTGCACATATTTCCTAATTATTTCCTAAAAATTTGGGAGTTGTCAGCCAAAACACACAGAGTGCAGTTTGACCCCAGTTTAACTTTCTTAGTTCAGTCCTGTGGAATTCTAGGATTTGTAGTTTGGTGAGCTCCAACACTATTTGGCAGATAAGGCTAAAGGCTACAACTCCTATGATTCCATAGCATTGAGCTTTGGCCATTAAAGTGGTGTCAAGCTGCATTAATCCTACAATTTAGATGCACCTCCAGAAAACCAAGGGGTTTGGATACTCCTGTTCAGTCTCATGGAATCTTAGTGTTGGAATAGCCAACGTTCTTGTCCAACTCTAGTCCTGCTTTAAAGAATTGTATCTTATTGGAAGCCAGTGTTATTGAATTCATTTTGGTTACTCTAAGATAGCTGGGTACCAAACTCAAGCCTGGAAAGATGATTTAAAGAACTCCAGTTTGGAAAGATGGTTTAACAGTGCAACTCTAAACATTGTTACTCAGATATAAGTCTCCCACAGTAATTAAGGCTTACACTCTAAGTCAGTGATTCTCAATCTGTGGGTCCCCAGATGTTTTGGCCTTCAAATCCCAGTAATCCTATCAGCTGGAAAACTGGCTGGAATTTCTGGGAGTTGTAGGCCAAAACACCTGGGGACCCACAGGTTGAGAACCACTGCTCTAAGTAATGTCTTACTGAATAAGATCCGGATGGGGCATTTGTGACCATATAGGTATGCTGGGCTCCAGATCCCATTAGACAGAACAATGGTGGGAAGTGTAATTCATCAATATCTGAAAAAAGCTGTATTTGGATGATAGGAAACTCTGCTTCTAGTTCTTTCTTTGTGTTGCAAAAATTATTAGCTGTCCTTGATCATAGCACTATATTAGCAAGTAACGTATGGTGATGGTAGTAACAATAACAACAGCAATGATAACAATGACAGTAAATAATAATAATATTACTCATCACTACATGTAACTTATATAACAACAGATTTTTTTTCTTTGCATCTCCCTATGGACACACAACACAGTTAAAAGAGCCCATGAAACCAAAACATACTAAAACATTCAATACAGACCTTACAATTAAGAATTTAAATATCTTCTGGATAAGAGTCAGATGTTGAGTGTTGCTTCAAATTCAGACAGCATATCTGAATGAACTAAAATTGTATCTTTGCCCAACCTATTGAGCTCTTGGAGAAATGAGCACCAATATAATATTTTCATAATTTCATTTTAATAAACTAGTTTCAAAGAAAATTTGTATACTTTGATCCAAGGTGAGGAGAAACTGGCTTTCTTCACAGTGTGATGTCAGGAGTGCATTATCTGTCCTTGGGGCTCTCCCTCTGATGGGCCTTTTTGTGTCCCTTGCCCATGGCTGCAGGTTAGGGGGGACCCTGTACTCCTTCCATTCCTCCATCCTGAATTGCCTCCTTCCTCAGCTGACAAGTCCCAGGTTGGCTGTGCGCAAAAGGGCCATCATTGCCCTCGGCCACCTCGTTTTGACTTGCAATGGGAACATCTTTGCAGAGCTTATGGAGCACCTCTTGGCCGAGCTGAAAAGAAACAACTCTACGTCTACCACAAGGACATATATACAGTGTATTGCTGGCATCAGCAGGCAGGCTGGACACCGTATAGGTAAGTTGTTCAGATTTTCGTTATCCAAACATTCTCCATCTATTATTTTAACTTGCAATGATTCCCAGTAGTGTTTGTAGTCTTTGTGCCCAAAATGTCTAAAGTAAAGGTAAAAGCAAAGGTTTCTCTTTGGCATTAAGTCTAGTCATGTCCAACTCTGGGGGGTGGTGCTCCTTTCCATTTCTAAGCCGAAGAGCCGGCGTTGTTCATAGACACCTCCAAGGTTATGTGGCTGGTATGAGTGCATGGAGCGCTGTTAACTTCCCACCGGAGCGGTACCTATTGATCTACTCACATTAGCATGTTTTCGAACTGCTAGGTTTGCAGAAGCTGGAGCTAACAGCGGGTGCTCACCCCGCTCCGCGATTTCGAACTGCCAACCTTCCTCAGCTCTGCAGCTTGGCTGTTTAACCTGCTGCATCACAGCAGCCCCCTCCCAAAATTTCTACCAACCTTTATTTTTGTGTTCTTTCTGGGCATTTCCTGATATTATTATAGCTTGATAGTATTCTACTTTTGCTTGAAATTTCTACTTCAGAAACATCTTCTGAGTTTGTTACAATATTGGCAGTCACCTAGAACAGTTTTTATTGCCTGGATAAGCAGAGGAGCTTTTATAGAATCAGTGGAACTAGAAGAAGTCCAGCTCCATGGTTTATCATCAAAACCTCCTCACCCTAACCCTAATCCTTATTCTGATAGGCGGCAATGAGGAAATAACATCAGTGAAGAAAGTATTCCCTCTCAAAGGTATCCGCAAAATAGATTGCTCCAGATGGCTCAAGCAAATGAGCCCAACTGCAGAGTACAGAAGGAAATTTCCTAAGGATGCTGTTTGGGGTTGAAAATAACTTATTACGTTGGTGAATTTAATATGGGTATATAAAGGAAATGTTCTCTATGGAGTTTTGCACATAACCACATCATGTTTCTGTATATTCCTGAAGTACAGGAATATACAGAAAACGTGTTAACTGTTCTTTGACTCAACTAATAGGCACCCTTGAGAAGGAAGGCTGTCATTTTAAAGAGTCTGCTGTTACACGGTGTTTTTTATTTCTGTGGAACTGATTAGATCTTTGTATATTTCACTTTAGCAACTGTAGTGACATGTTGTTGGTTTGTTCTGTTATTCTCTCATAGGAGACTATCTGGAGAAGATGATCCCACTAATAGTTCAATACTGCAATGTCGAGGACGATGAGCTGAGGGAATATTGCTTTCAGGCTTTTGAGTCCTTTGTCAGAAGGTTTGTACTTTTATTTTTGAGATGGAAAAACCAACCTTGGAACCTGTTAGGACAACCTCCGTGCCCTGAGGCGCAGGGATTTTAATGATAATGATATATACGATTTATACGATCTGAAGAGAAACCAGAGTATGGGATTACTTTTATGCTTATTTATATTAATGTAATTTGTGTTTTATGCAATGTGTCAATTTATTGTTTACGTTGGATTGGTGGGATGATGGTTTTTTGTATTATGTAGTTGTCTTATTTTTCTATTTTGTTCACTGCTTTGAGTCCCATCAATGGGTGAAAAGCAGGATAAAAGTAAATAACAACAACAACAACAATACAACAACCAGCATAGTGATGGTGATCTTGTTTGCTGTGTACTAATCTTGTTATGTTTATAATAATAATAATAATAATAATAATAATAATAATAATACTACAACCAGCATAGTGATCTTGTTTGCTGTGTACTAATCTTGTTGTGTTTCAAATAATAATAATAATAATAATAATAATAATAATAATAATAATTGTACTCCCCTTCTGAAAATGCATCTACTCTTCCAGCATCATGCTGCTGCCCAAGTCTGATTCTGTAGTTTGAGCTTACAGTATAAAACACGATTTTTGTTCCTGGGTTATAAATATCATTTCCTAATTGGTTCAGTCATAAAAACATGGGAAAAGTTTATTAAACTGCAAAAACTTTCTCCTGAGGTTTTCTCACTGTTTCCCAAAAGGTGTCCAAAGGAAATTGGCCCTCACCTTCCCAGCATAACGGGGTTGTGCCTCAAGTATATCACTTATGATCCAAACTACAACTACGATAATGAAGAAGAGGATGAAGAAGAAATGATGGAAACTGAAAATGGAGAGGAGGAGGAACAAGGTACTATATGGTTGATTCGTGTGCTAGTTGGAGAAGTTGGGCCTCCTCTGCTGGTAGCTGAAACATTCCTTTTAAGACTCTTATGCATTTTTTTCAATTTTTCTAGGCCAGAGGCTTGTATGAAGACTTTCCTTTTCCATGATCAGTGAAACATAGAGTGGACTGTTTTAGAAAAAAAATCAGTTTTGCTTTAATGCAGTTCGAAGTTAGCTTCAAACTATGGTGGCCAGAAAACAAACTCCTACAAAACGCCCTTAATGTGCATCCAAGGCCTGTGATTCCAGGATTTCCTATGTAATAATCTTCACAACAAAACAATTTTCTTCAATACCTGTTTGAAATTGTATTAAATTGTCAGTGTAGATGTGGCCTAGCTTTCAGCTCTCCCATACAAGGAGAGAGCATCTAGGACAGTGTTTCCCAATCTGTAGTCCGTGGACCACCAGTGATCTACAAGAACTAAAATATGGTCTGCGGCCTCACCGTTACTACACTGTTGCAATGAGAGTGACTGGTTTCACAAAACCCTCTTATAACCATATTAAATATGGTTTTCTGTGGGTGAGCAGATAGTGACTACTAGATGGCATATGTTCTGTATCAGAAACCAGAGCTGTTGTAGTCTGTCCAATGTAATTTTCTGAATCAACACCCCAAGTAAGTAACCAAACTGAATATAAAGTTGACGGAAAACTGATTCATAACCCTTTTGCTACTAATGTTGGAGAGTGGTCGATGGTAAAAAAAAATGTTGGGAACCACTGATCTAGGAGGAGGAATATGGCAGGGCTGCACTTTTCATTCCTCTAGGTGAGACTTGAGACCAATGTCTTTATCTCTCCCATTACAATTCAAAAGGGGTTTTTTTGGGGGGGGGGGGGAAGGAAGGAGGTATTGAAGAATATCTGTAACACTTTCATTATGTTTCTAGCCAATCATTTGATACAATTATAGAAACATGCTATTGATAACCATACCCTTTTCCTTTGAAAAAGAAACATTGAATGGATTAATATTTGTAAATTTGATATTATATAAATATTTTAGTGAAAATATATTAATGGATGGATAGATAGGCAGACTAATTGACTGATTGGTCTGTTAAGTCTTGAATGATTAGGCCCTATTTTTCTAACAATTGTCTTCCTTCCTCAGACAGTGATGATGAATATAGTGACGATGATGATATTAGCTGGAAAGTTCGCAGGTCTGCAGCCAAGTGCCTTGAGGCGATTGTCAGCACAAGACATGACTTGCTGCAAGATTTCTACAAAACACTGTCACCAGCATTAATAGGCAGGTTCAAGGAGAGAGAGGAAAATGTTAAAGCAGATATCTTTTGCGCATATATATCTTTGCTGAAGCAGACGCTGCCTATTCAGAGCTGGCTGCACACTTCAGATGACGTAGGCAAAGATGATATACCACTCACTATGCTCCAGAACCAGGTGAGAGATGGAGCCGGGAGCCAATTCTTTTAGGTGGGGAAGCTTTGTGAAATAGAGCACATGGCATACAGGGCATATGCAACCTCCAGACAGTCACTGCAGTCATCAGTGCAATTTCTGGAGCCCCTTGTGCTTGCTCTTCATTAGAAGAAAGCACCAGGAGAAGGAAAAATCCTGTGTCGTAGAGTGTTTTGGCACCTTCCAGAACCATAAAGAAACTCTATACAGGCCATCCCCAAGTTACAAACAAGATAGATTCTGTAGGTTTGTTGTTAAGTTGAATTTGTTTGTAAGTTGGACAGGTACATTTTGAAGTGTAACTCTAGCCATCCATGCACACACACACATACTGTTGAGGCCTGGTCTGTGGAGGAGGGGACCCTTTGGTGGGGCCTTGTGCACCTGAATTGGAGCCTGAGTTGGAGCCAGCTACTTCTGTAGTGCCTCAGGAAGAAAGTAGTTCTTCCCTGGATGATGGGAATTGCCTTACAGACCTGCTCTTAGCGAGAATGTTTCACATGAGACTGCCAGATACTTTCACCGACCGTGAGAGGAATGTGAGGGTGGTGGAAGACTCCAGGTTGTTGCCTGTAACTCAGTGTCTTCAATTACAACAAGATAGTGCCAAGCAGAGGCAATTACAGTTTTCTCAACATTTGAAAAATAAACAAAGGGATTCCAGGATTCAGACAGATAATGTCTCCATGGGAAAAAATTAGGTTTCTTAAGTTATCTTCTTTGGTTGCTCTATGTGATTTCAGCATTGAATTTTCAAGAGAAAGTAACCTTGGTTTCATGTCATGTTTTTCTGTTTGTGATCAGGGAATCTCGTTTGGATACAGTTCGTTCAACTTTTGTGACTCTGGCTTTACTCTCAGTGCTGGACTTTGCTTATAGCTGCATCAAAGAATACTATGATTGTAGAATATATTTTGGAATGACTTTTGAATCCTGTACTTTGGATATACTTTCATTTTGACCTATTACGTATGCCTTGGAATTACTTTTGTATCTTTTACCTTGGAATGTATTTTTAAATAGCTTTTTTTCTATAGAACACTCATTTCTTTAATAAACTTTAAATCAGTGGATTGGATACCATTTGGCTGAGCTGAATATGGCTGAATTAGCTCTTCCATTTGGGTGAAAAGATGAAAGCAGGTGGCTGGGCTGTAACACATACATATAAGCTCTCGATAGCATGGGGAAGGGTTTATACCCCTGTGGTGTTCATTTTGCTGTCTGTACCCCTGTTCAGAAGATTTCACCTCACTTTCTGTCCCTGCGATAATTGTATTTTGAAAAATTTGGCTTGCTGTGGAAACAAGGATTGGTGATAAAGTTCCAGTTGAGACACCTTTTCCCCATGATAACTGTTTCAGGAGTAAATTTCCCTTCCGAGTGGTAGATTTCTCTCATTTCCTGTTGTCTCCCCCCCCCCCCCCCCATTCTTAACTATGAATTGTTTGTAATTTGAATGTTTGTAACTCATGGATTGCCTGTACTTGCCCCTAAATGTTTTTTTCTGCCAGTCTTTTGGGCTAATAAATTTTGTGCTGCTCTTCTGGACACCCCGGTTCTCTAAAAATCTCTCGCATGGCCACATCAATGAATATTAAGATGAAATGTCTCACAGCTGTAACCCTTTCTGGATAATGAAACCATTTACAAGCCGAATCATATTCCATTTTCATACTAAATGATTAATGTGGTCTTGGGCTTGTGTTGGGTTACCACTATTACCACTGAGTGTCTTTCTAACCGTACAGGTTCCACATATCGTGAAGGCCTTGCACAAGCAACTGAAAGAGAAGAGTGTCAAGTCAAGACAAGGATGCTTCACTCTCCTGACAGAGCTGGCTAACGTTCTCCCTGGTTGTCTTGCAGACCACATACCTGCACTAGTGCCTGGTAAAGCTTTTCATTGAGTCTCGTTTGACGCATCTCCCCCTCCCATTTTCTGATGTGAAGCACCTGGACAAAACTGGGTTCTTTTGTTTTTGCTCACATTTTCTTCTTTGTATGTAGTTCTGATCTTTTATTTTTCAGTACAAGTCATGAATATTTTACTATTTGTTGAAATGGACCCCAAAAGTTAGTATTTGGTAGAGTTATTTATTGGGGATGGATACAATACCCAGAATCTATTTAAATCCGTATGTCCTTTACTGAATAGAATTTGCCTATCCACTGCCATGAGGGATGGATATGAAGTGATTAAGCAAAATTATGAATGATCTCATGGGTTTATTAACTATTTCCGTTCTCCTCTCCTAGCCAGTGTTCCAAATTTGATAATAAAATCATGCTTTTTAAAATAAATTAAAAATGGAGGCCCGCACTATTTATAGTCCTGAGTGTTTGCAAAGCTATAGCATAGATGCATACTACAGATGATTCTTTCTGGGGAAAAGTAGTTCAACCATGTCTGTGCTTCAGATCAACTTAGTTACTTACTTTGCATAGAGAAAGAGCAAATGAACAGTATTCCAGCTGGCCTTCCACATTATTATTATTGTTATTATTATTTATCATTTCACATATTTGTATCCCATCCTTTTCACCTCCAAGGGGGGGACTCAGGGCGACTTACAACAGGCAACCATTTGATGGCATCATACAGATTCATAATAACAATTGTAGTTAAAACAGTAATTAAAAATTATATTATTAAAACATTATTTTAAAATCACACAAATTCAAATCATAATCCAGGTCAAACCATTGTCAATAACATTGAGTTGGTATCAATCTTGATTTCTGCATCTATTGTTCATTCACTGGGGTTAAGGCACAGGACCCCCTTGAAAGTGAAAAACTGCAAATAAAAATGCCATTTTAATGTGTTTCTTGTCTATTAGTATTATATAAATAGCAATAAATGGTTTTGGAAATAATTTTGTTACCTGAGATAACACATTTAAATAAAATCCATAAATAACTCTATGTAACAAAATTTGGAAAAAAAATCTGTCACTGATTTGAAAGTGTTGTTTTCAGTCTAATTGTGCGGTACTTGCTTTGAAAGTAGTTGTTATATCCCAGAAACTTCATTTTTTGTGGCTGCCACAAAATACGCTAAATTGGTTGAGCCTCTATGGAAAAACTATAGCAAAATGTGCTGCAGGATGTCCCACAAAAACAAAAGTTTTTGTAGTTTAGTAAACTTTTTCCATTTTTTTTTATGATAGAACCAATTAGGAAATGACATTTATAACCCAGGAACAAAAATTGTGTTACATAGTGTAATCAAATCCATAAAAGTCAAATCCACAAATGTGGAGGGCTGTCTGTACTGCTGCCATCAGTGAATTGAGCCATTTCCTACTCTTTTAAAAATGTGTCAATTCTAGCTGCATAAATAAATCAGTGCTTTCTCCCAACAGGTATTGTTTTCTCCTTGACGGACAAATCCAGCTCCTCCAACATGAAGATCGACACGCTGTCTTTCCTCCACGTTGTCCTCTGCAACCACTCCCGAGAGGTGTTCCACCCCCACATTAAGGCCCTGCTTCCACCGGTTGTGACTTGCATAGGAGATCCCTTTTACAAAATAACCTCTGAAGCCCTGCTAGTCACTCAGCAGCTTGTGAAGGTGATTCGGCCTCTGGATGTCCATTGTTCATTTGATGCCAAACCTTATGTGAGAGACCTGTTCTGTGCTACTCTGAAGAGACTGAAAGCTGCTGACATCGACCAGGAGGTGAAGGAAAGGGCAATTTCTTGCATGGGACAGATTGTCTGTAACCTCGGAGACTACCTAAGCAGTGACCTCCAGCCGACCTTGAAGATTTTTCTGGAGAGGTTGAAAAACGAAATAACGAGACTCACCACAGTCAAAGCACTTACTTTAATTGCTAGTTCTCCTCTCAAAATTGACTTGCGGCCCATTTTGGCAGAAGGGTTCCCCATTTTGGCATCCTTCTTGCGTAAGAATCAACGTGCCTTGAAACTCAGCACCTTGACCGCTCTGGACATCTTGATCAAGAACTACAGTGATAGCCTGAAGCCAGCCATGATTGAGTGTGTTCTCATGGAGCTTCCTGATTTGATCAGTGAGAACGACATGCATGTTTCCCAGGTGGCCATCACGTTCCTTACCACTTTGGCTAGGGTTTACCCCTCTTCCTTGTCCAAGATCAGTGGGACGGTTCTGTCAGAGCTTTTCCAGCTTGTTTACTCTCCCTTGATGCAAGGGGGAGCCCTGAATGCCATTGTGGACTTCTTCCAAGCGTTGGTCGTCACCAAGACTGTCAACTTGAGTTATGGGGAACTCATGAAGCAGCTGATGAGCCCAATATATTCCTCAAGCCCTAGTGGAGCGTCTGCGAATTTACACAAACAGGCCTATCATTCTGTTGCCAAGTGTGTGGCCGCTCTTTCTTCTGTATGTCCCAAAGAAACCCCTACCGTAGTAAACCAGTTTGTTCAGGATGTGAAGAACCCCAGGTCTAGCGCTGCTGTGAAAATGTTGGCCTTCCTTTCTCTGGCCGAAATCGGACGCACCACGAACCTCAGTGCTCAGAAGGATCTCAAAGCTGTGATACTTGATGCATTTGCTTCGCCTAGCGAAGAAGTGAAGTCGGCAGCTTCCTACGCTCTGGGGAACATCAGTGTGGGTAGCCTTAAGGAATATCTCCCCTTCATGCTCAAAGAGATTGGGGTCCAGCCCAAGCGCCAGTACTTGCTGCTTCACTCCTTGAAGGAAGTCATCAGCTCCTCCCCGGCGGAGAGCCTGAAGCCCTATGTGGAGGACATCTGGGCTTTGCTCTTCAAGCACTGCGAGTGCACTGAGGAAGGGACACGAAATGTTGTCGCTGAATGCTTGGGGAAACTGACTGTTGTTAATCCTTCCCAGTTGCTGCCCCGGCTGAAAAAACAACTGTCTTCAGGTAATGTGAAGTCAATGACTAGAGTAACTGTAGGTTGTTGACCATAAAAAATTTTGGATCACAATTTCCAGAACAATTCTCTCCTGGATGACCCATCCTATGCTGGGTTGAAATTTCCGAGGGTTATAGTCCAAACCAGTAATTAGCCTGAGCTCCCTTAGTCTTGTGCATTTGTATAGAATCACTATCAATTTCTGTTTGTTCATTCATAAGGCCCTGTTTTTGTTTTTGAGCACCTCTTCCGAAAACGGGCACCTTTCTGAATGAGCTTTTTTGTTCAGGGTCTGAAAGAAAAAAAAATTCGGACTATTGGCCAACATGGGTGGCTGAGAGAATGGTCTGAGGAAGGGAGCCTTGCCCATCCTCTGGCCGAGAGAAGGGAAAGGAAGGGAGGCAGCAACCAGAGTGGATTTATCACCACTCCTGTTGCTGCTCCCTTCCTTGGGCCATTGTTATGCTGGTAGGAGGTCCCGTGGAAGGCACACAGAGAGGGAGAGGGCTCCGGACAGCTCCTGTCCACTGCGTGCCTTCCTCCCCTGTTCTTTTGGCTCAAGGGTGTGACAGGCTGCCACATCCTTAAGTCCAGAAGATGGAGGGAAATAGAAGGGTTGGACATAAGTGCCCAAAGGGCTGTGTTGGGGCATGGTTTGAAAAGTATGCTGCTAATAAAATGCTGCTGTTGCCGGCTATTTGCAATTGCTACTATTACAAAGTATGCCAGTTTTATGCATATTTCTTTCTTTGTATTCTGTGAAATCTGGTTGTGGCGAAGGGTGAGAATAGCAGTCTTAACTGATTGAAGTTTGTTGTAAGTTAATATTCCTTCTTATTCCAATGATTTTTCTCTCTCGTTTTTATAGGTTCCCCATATGCTCGAAGCACAGTAGTTACTGCAATCAAGTTCACAATTTCAGATCAACCACAACCCATTGATCCTCTTCTGAAAGGATGCATAGGTAATGTTTGGTTCCTCCAGAACATTTACTGGAAGATCAGAGCATCAGACAGTGTTAATCTTGAAATGCACATGAGAGAAAAAGAAGGCAGGGCCTAAATGGCCAGGAGGATAAACTTCACTAATTCAAAACAAAAAACATAGATTGGTGGATGTGGAAGTTTCCTGGATAGCATTTGTTGAAGTATAAGATACCCAAGATTGTTTCTGGCCCTTGTGGAGTCATTAAAATGGTTCCAGACATTAGAAAAGGCAAATTTTGGTTGATGTTCTGCCAGTTTCTGAAAACTGAAATCCTAGCAGTGATCAGTAGATTTCCAACCAGTAGATACCATCTACCTATTCATTTGCATAACCAGGTAAAATGATCAGCAGGGTCACATGATAAGTAAATACTGGTATTGCATGTTTTTCTTTTCCCAAAGGTAATTAGAGAGGAGCCATTCCCACCAGGTAAGAATAAACTGGTTTTATTTCTGGGTTGCTGAGAGTTTTCTGGGCTGTATGGCCCTGTTCCAGAAGCGTTCTCTCCTGATATTTCTCCCACATCTATGGCAGACATCCTCAGAGGCTGTGAGGTCTGTTGGAAACTAGGCAAGTGAGGTTTATATATCTGTGGAATGATGTCCAGGGTAGAAGAAAGAACAAAATGAAAATGAACAAAATCTGGCTACAAGTACTAAAAAAAACCTCTAAAATCAGAGTAAAGAAGAATATTAAAAAAAAAACAACAACGGGAATTCCTGACATGAAATAATCAGGGCCAGCTAATGCCTCTCAACAAAAGATTGCCACAGGCAGGAATCAGCTAGGCTTTGAAGCTAAAAGGCAATCAATGTGGCCAATTGCAACATTCACACTTGTCTCAAGCAGACAAGAGTTCTTTCTCCCACCCTGGACATTCTGCAGATATATAAACCTCACTTGCCTAGTTTCCAACAGATCGCTCAACCTCTGAGGATGCCTGCCATAGATTAGGGGAAAACGTTAGGAGAGAATGCTTCTGGAACATGGCCATATAGCCCAGAACACTCACAACAACCCAGTGATTCCGGCCATGAAAGCCTTCAACAACACATTCCTTTTTGTCAGGACCTGTTTCAGAATTTCCACATATGAGGCTCTGTGAGATCATATTCATTGGCTCTTTTTATGAACATACTGGGCCATTGGAGAACACTTTCTTTCATATCAATGAAGAGACAGCATGACCAATTGCTTTCTCATCTTGTTTTGACAAGCTCCCATCTTGATTGATGGATATTGGACTAGGGATATAGAAAGGTAACATCTCAAAAGCATTGCTGTTGTGGAAAGCAACTATAGTGTGCTTGTACCACATTGTGATAACAAATGACAATTAGTTTTGTGCTATTTACCATGCAGGTGACTTCTTGAAAACACTCCAGGACCCTGATTTGAATGTCCGGCGTGTTGCTTTAGCGATGTTTAATTCTGCTGCTCACAACAAACCTTCTCTAATCCGGGACCAGCTCAGCACAGTCCTACCACACTTATATAATGAAACGAAGATTAGAAGGGAACTCATACGAGAGGTATGGATATGGATGATACAATCCATTTAATTTTATCCTCTACTAGAGAAAACTGTGGAACAGACAAATTGCCTTTTTCTATGAGAATTATGTATGTACTTACTGCAGAGTGCAGTGGATTTGTGTGGATTACCTTTGTAGTAGGGATCACCTGCACTTTGTGCTGCATGAACAAGACATTGATGATCATTTTCAACTTCCAACTCCCATAATTCCTAACATCCAGCAGGCTGTTAGGAATTGTGGGAGTTGGACTCCAAAACACCTGGAAGGCCAGTGTTTTCCCATGCCTGCTCTAGCTTTACTTCCACTGGAAGCTGGCCATATAAATTCGCTGGAGGACCAAAAGATTTCTAGAGAAGACTTCTCTTGGGTGAAAAAAAAAGTTTTCTTGTGGATGTTGTCTGTAGAATTGCACTGAAAGATGTAGAGATTTCTAGAGAGAGCATTTAAATGAAAAACCCCTGAATAACCAAATCTGCAAAAGTCAATCCTACAAATGTGGAGGGCCGACTTACTCTATTTCCCAGACATGTAAGTCTACTTGCAAAGATGCAAATCCTATGTCGAATTCCAGCTCTAATTGCTTAATCTTTTTTGAAGTTTGTTGTTGACGGTGACTCTCCAGGTAGAATTTTTCCCAAGTCTAACCTTGAAGTCCCTAGTGGTTTCCCATCCATATACTAACCATGCTTGACCCTGCTTAGCTTCCAAGAACAAATGGAATTGTGTGGTCACAGGGTTGTATGGATTTCTACAAAATTGAGATGTGTTGAATATTCTTAATATCAATGCCAGATAAAAAGCTAAATATTAGGAAGATGGAAATTTTATGGGTAAGTGTTGATAGAAACAAATGTTGTGATACAAGTGAGATTGAGGGATCAGTCTCCAACAGATTAGAGAGGACTTATGGTTTTGATTTTGTCATGGCTAAATAGTTTATTCATGCATTGGGTGGTTGAATTGTATAGAAAAGTTTCAGCAAGTTTGTGCTGGCTGGAAAGGAGAATCATATGCATAACTGCTGGTGGCTTTAGCCGGTAAATTCAGAGTGTTGGCTTTAGCCTATAAAACCCTAAACGGTTCTGGCCCACCTTACCTGTCCGAACATATCTCCCTCTATGAACCATTTTGGAGGTTAAGATCATCCAGGGAGGCTCTCGGTCCCACCTCCTTTGCAGGTGCAACTGGTGGGGACGAGAGACAGGGCCTTCTCAGTGGTGGCCCCTTGTCTGTGGAAGTCCCTTCCCAAGGAAATCAAATCAGCCCGTTCTCTCCTGACCTTCTGGAAAAAACTTATGATGTGGCTTTGAGACCAAGCTTTTAACCACAAATCAATGGAGCGCCCCTGGATTATGTTTTGTATGGCGTAATTTTAATTGACGTTTTAATAATTCATGTTTTAATTATTTGGTTTTAATTGTAATTGTTTATTTGATACATGTATGAATGGCATCAAATTGCTGCCTGTTGTCAGTCCGCCTTGAGTCCCTTCCCGGGTGAGAAAGGCAGGATACAAATATGGTTCATACATACAATACATAAAATGGAGACTTTCCCTACTCTGATTTGCTGAATGATTTCTGTAACTCTTCTTATTTTTCCTTCCTCTAGGTAGAAATGGGGCCATTCAAACACACAGTAGATGATGGCCTTGATGTGAGGAAAGCCGCCTTTGAGTGCATGTATACACTTCTGGAAAGCTGCCTTGACCGCCTAGACATTTATGAGTACTTGAACCATGTTGAAGATGGCTTGAAAGATCACTACGATATCAGGGTAAGCGCCTTCTTTTCATCTCAGCATTTATTTTTATCTTTTGTTTTTCACCGAGGCCTTAAAAGCAATGTAGGGATATTTAAGGTTCCCCTCCCTGCTGCCCCACTGTGCTTTTAGGTCATGTTGTCTTCTTCCTTCCCAAATGAATGACTAAACTTGGTGATAATTTTTGTTTGTTGTTGTTATGTGTCAGGTTTATTCCAATTTTTTGCTAGTCTATAATAGAGTTGGCAAGATTTATTCATATCTTTACCCCTGCCATAACTATAATTTTCAACCTATAATTTTCATGTGTAATGGAAATTGGCTGTAGTGTTTCATTTGGGAGTGAAGATTGCTTGCTTCCATTAAATGAAAGTATTTTTTTGTGTCAGGAGTGACTTGAGAAACTGCAAGTTGCTTCTGGTGTGAGAGAATTGACCGCCTGAAAGGACGTTGCCCAGGGGACACCCGAATGTTTGATGTTGCTTCTCTCATGTCCCCACATGGGGAGCTGGAGCTGACAGAGGGAGCTCATCCACGCTCTCTCGGGATTTGAACCTCCGACCTGTCAGTCTTCAGTCCTGCGAGACAAGGGTTTAACCCATTGCACCACCAGGGGTTCTGAATGAAAGCTAATGCAGGTTGAACATCCCCAAAATACCCCAAATTCATCAAGATGGGTAGCTGAGATAGTGACACCTTCATTTCCTAGTTCAATGTACACAAAAATTGTTTCATCTACTATATTATTTAAAACATTGTGCATAGAAGGTGTATATGAAACCTATGTGAATTTGGTATTTAGACTTTGGTCCTATCTTCAACATATCACATTATGTCTGTATGTGTAAATACAAGTGTTCCATAACCCAAAATACATCTGGTTCCAAGATCAGGGATACTCAACCTATATTAGAAATCTTATTTGACAGAAAACCTTGATAAAGCTGCCTTTTCTCCTCTCTCTCCAATATTCTTCTCAGATGTTGACTTTCATTATGCTGGCTCGTCTGTCAACACTCTGTCCTAATGCAGTCCTACAAAGATTAGAGCAGCTTGTTGAGCCCCTGCGAGCAACTTGCTCTACTAAGGTAATGCCCTGGATACTAAGACCCAGTGTGTTGATTTCCTTGAAGCTTTTTTTCCTCTCATGTCTATCACCTTACATCTCCATTCTCAGGACTAGATCAGATGCCTACCTTTGCTTACGTCAGCTTGACAGTTCAAAGTTAATGACATTTGTCTTTTAAAAAGACCCACTGTGAATGAATAGGTGGAGACCAATCACGATCATAATTAAGAATTGGATTTTGTGCTTCTAATTTTACCCCAAGAAATGCATTGCTATTTTATATATGGTTGCAAACTCACCTGAGTACATCAAAGTACAAAAATGCATACAGCAGCCTTTCCTTTCCTCATTTTGTGGTTTTGTTACTAATGTGATGAGTGAAATACTACATACTTATAGGCCTATCAGTGTGCCTGAAGACCTCCCAATGTAGCTGACTTATTTTGCCATTCTGTTTTTGAATGCTCTTCTTTAGGTCAAAGCTGGTTCCGTGAAACAGGAATTCGAGAAGCAAGATGAACTGAAACGTTCAGCAATGAGGGCAGTAGCTGCTCTTCTGACCATCCCTGATGTAGATAAAAGTCCAGTGATGGCTGAATTTTCTTCCCAGATCAGAGCCAACCCTGAAATGTCTTCACTTTTTGAGAGCATTCAGAAAGATTCTACTTCATTATCTGCCACAGAATTAATGGACATGAGTTAGGACTCCTCCACGCTATTCCTCCTACAGGTCACTATGCTAGGAGGGGGGAAGAGCATACACAAAAGCTGGTTTTCAATAACCAATGTCATTTTTAAAATGGCAACTGTTTCTATCGAAAGGCGATTTCAGACATGAAAGTGACGACTAGTCCTGTTGATATCAGCAGGGCAGCACCATTTTGAAGCTGTCAATTACTCCTTTGCTCAAATACAATCATGAATTTTCTGCCAAGGTAAGCACTGACTCCAGCACAAGCTGGAGTACTGAAAATGACGAATTTACTTATTACACAAAGGCACTGAAGTGACAGCACTACAACAGCAGTTTTAAAAGCAGTGGCAACTGATGAAATCCTACTCTACCGAAGAACTAGGCAGTGGGTGTTAAGCTTCCATAATTGTCACCTCGGTTAAGTATTGGCTTTCATATGTGTAATATTACGCCGACTTCCATAGTGGCATTAGATGATTTAAAGCTGTTGTGCTGAACTCCTTTTTGAAATCTTAATGTCAAACTATGGAAGTGAAATGACCCATGTTGTCTTCCAGAATTGAATGCCTTATGCTTAATTACTGTAGTTTTTGGCTGCTCCTACATCCTTTGGAAACATAGCAGTGTGTTCCTGTATGCACCTTCTGGCTGGAGTTTACTAATATTTTCTTAAAGAGGAGCTGATACCAAAGCACTGATTACTTCAAACTATAAAAAAAAGTTAGCATGTTTCTCCTAAGAGCCACCCATTTGGTATGAAAACATGTAGTAATGAAATGGCACCACCTAGTTATATGAATGCTATTGTAGTTTTACTCTCAAGTGTGTTGCTCTTTTTACAGTTCAGCAGAGATAATGTTGACTTCTTGCAACCATGGATTACTAAGCTTCACTTCTGGGTTTATTCCACTTAAGTCAAATCCATGAATCACTTAAGTGCTCTATTTATAAAACTGTGTGTCACTTTTTGTTCTACATGAAATGCATCGCAAGAAAATAAAAGTTCATAAATGTATCAGCTGCATTTTGATTCCGCTGTCTTTTTATGGTTTGTAGGAATAGATTTTTATACTTCAAGTTAAAAGTTGTCAGTTCAGAGTATCCCAAAAGATCATCAAGTTTTAGTGTGGAAGTTGTCTGGTTTTCCTGATGTTTAAAAAGTGCAACCCAGGTGGACATCTCTGTCTAAATGCATCCTGTATAGCAGGCATGGGCAAACTTTGACCCTTTAGGTGCTTTGGACTTCAACTCCCACAATTCCTAATAGCATACCGGCTGTTAGGAATTGTAGAGCTGAGGACCAAAACACCTGGGGGGCCCGATGTTTGCCCATGCCTTCTGTATGGCTAAAGCACCATATATACTCCTCTTCCCTTACAAGTATCAAGCAAAGGGCCTCATCACACTAGAGAATGAATCCACTTTAAATCTGGTTGCAGTTTCCTGCAGAAACCAGATTTAAAGTGGATTCATTCTCTAGTGTTATGAAGTGGTAGGTCACTGTGCAGAAAACAAAAGGACGCTGTTGTTGCTCAGTTCCTTGGAGCTTTAAACTATGTTGCATGACCACGGTACAATATTTTTATTTATCGTGTCATCAGCAACCACAATGTGAAGTATTCACGAGAAGATATACAACACAAGCGAGGATCTTAAATAGCATAAAATACACAGACTAGGGCTGAACTATGGTCCAACAACTGAGTGGGTCACCCAATTCCCACCTTTGTATTATAAATATAAAATCTGTGTTTGCTCACTGTACCTAAAAGGGTACTTATGATGACTTTAAACATACCTTTGAAAGCATGCAGTTAGTCCCATAAGGTCCCTTGGGAAGAAAGTTCTCGCTTTTAAACTCCCACTTACAGCTCAACATTGCAGCTATTTCGGTATTTTTCTGTTCAACAGTAAGCTGTGATATAATGCAGGAGTAAAAGGAGTACCTATTTTCCAGGACATAAGCTTGGAGTGTAACACTGACACTTTGCAATTCTCACATTTTTTGTCATCTTGTCCTTTTTCCAAAAGCACCAGTTTACTTTTATAATTCACACCACTCAGGTCAATCTGAGCCAGAAACGGGAGATTTTCAATGTTTTTGATACCTTTATTAAATACAGTTGTATAAAAACAACTATTTATTCATTTTCTTCGCTGCGCAGTCTGGCATTTGGATTGGTGACTTTGATAGCGAGCTGAGCTGCTCTCTCCACAATTACCTTCCGATTCTTGGATGAGACATTGTGTGCTATCTCTGCACAATAGGACCTAGAGTCAGAAACAAGAGCAGTGTCAAAAAGAGGTAATTACTATTTTAAAGTCTACTTTGAGAGAGATGTTTTTCAAAAAGAACACCCAAAGTGTAGGTTTTAGTCAATTTGACTGTACTACTCAAAACAAGGGTGTAACCCACACATACGAAAATTATCTAGCACAGCTCTTATATGAGCGTAACACTTCAAAAAGCAGTTCTTCATCTGACACTGACATTCAGCCCTTGGAAAACTTACAAAGAGATGGCCTTCATCCACCTGCTTTCCATTCCCAGGTTATCTGTCAAACAGGTGGACGGTATTTCACATTCCTTGAGAAGAAACAGACTAGTTCCTTTGTCCTAAATACTGGTTCTACAATGGATACTTGGAAACTTTCTAGCTAGGGACAGGCATTAGGACGTTTAGCCCAAATGTACACTATTTCTGGGTCCACAGTAGCTTCTGCCTGTAATTCCAAGCAGCCTCACACACTATAACCAAGAGTACAGGATTTTGGAAGCTATAGTAAAACATTTGGGGAATCAGTGGGTTTCTATCACAGGTTAGCCCTGGAGACATATTTCTTAGTGGGGAAAAACCAGTATGGGTTCTCCTCTTATGATACAGAGAGAATGAATAGAGGACACCTCAATTGGTCTAAATCAGGGCTTAAAACTTTTTTCCATGTGCAACCCCCTTCTTCCCAAGGAGTTTTTACATAATCCCAGCTGTGATTTAGGTAATGTAAAATTGCCTCATTATTGCAAGACCCTATCAAGGCTGTATTGACTGAGGATACCCATTTCACTCTTTAGTATCACTATAGTGTTCCAAGATACTTCTGCTGATGTATAGTTTATTTTGTCTGTGTCAAATCTAGTAAACTCAAGAGGTTTAATAAAATTTCCCAACTGCTTTTTTTAACCCATTGGAACTGGCAAGTTATCACAGCTACATTTTTGTACAATTCGCAGCTTTAACACTACATGGTAAAAAATGCGGAATGTATTCAATGCGGCCTGTCTGCCACCGGAATTGAGCAGCCCTCCAATTAGCAAAACATGACAAAGTGTTAATCTGAAGTGTAGCAATTAGTTTTCAAACTTACTTGTTGCTCATCATTAGCACCTCGAGTTCTTTGACATTGTGTACCAGAAACTTCTTGAATCCTGATGGTAGCATATGCTTTGTCTTCTTATTGCTACCATACCCAATGTTGGGCATTAAGATTTGGCCCTTGAATCTTCTGCGAACTCTGTTGTCAATACCTCTTGGCTTGCGCCAGTTACGCTGTGGAAATTCAAAGAAGGACAAGGAACATGAACACTTCACCAAGACCTCCAAGTTATAACAGTTCGGAACAGATGTAGAGCCAAAATCAAAAATACTTGAAGAATGCACAAAACCTCTCTGGAGGCTGACACATAAGTGCTCATTACAAGAAGACTTACCTTGATTTTGACATAGCGATCAGACTGGTGACGAATGAACTTCTTGGTCCTCTTCTTGACGATCTTAGGCTTTATGAGAGGTCTGAGGGCAGGCATGATGTCTACAAAAAAAGCCACCTTATGTAAGTAACCACATGGAACAAGACATAAAATGTTGCAGAGTAACTTCCATTTACTAGCCTACTTTACAGCTAGCAATGGAATGGGTACTTTTCTGCCACCGCTCTTCCTCCCATGTCCGAGGCCGGAAGAGTATGGAAAACTCTCCAGATGCGATCCTGGGAGGTCATATCAGTTTTAAAAACTGTGAAAAGCACAAATGGCCAACTTTCAATTCTCAGTGTTAATGGACTGAAATGTTTCAAAAGGGTATTGTTCAAAATATTTCTATGGTCTTAAGACATTTCAGTCTCCATTAAATCTGGGAAATGAAAATTAGGGTAGATATTAGAAAGGTAGGAAATGCATTTGCATAGTTGATACATGAATATGTATTTCATACTGATTCACAGAAGAATTTCACCCAGTATACTTTGCCACTGACTATTCTGGCTGGGACTGTTAAGAATTGCAATTCAATGACACCCCCAATTTCTTCTTGTTGTTTTGTGCCTTTAAATTGTTCTTGACTTATGGTGTCCTTAAAGCGAACCTATTATAGGTTTTTCTTGGCAAGTTTGGGGTGGGAGGAGTGCTTCTGTATTCCTTTGACATTGAGAAAATGTGACCTACACAAGCTCATCCAGCGGGTTTCCATGGCTGAGCAGGGATTCAAACCCTGGTCTGAAGAGTCATACTCCAATGATCATATAATTACTATCATGCAAAGATTATGCTGTGTAGCACATTATTTTGTTCCTGGGTTATAATATCATTTCTATTTGGTTCTATCATTTAAAAAATTGGAAAAAGTTTGTTAAACTGCAAAAACTTTGTTTTTGCGGGACATCCTGCAGCACATTTTGCTATAGTTTTTCAATGAACATCTCACTGAAACCAACTCAGCATGGTCTGGCAGCCACAAAAATGAAGTTTCTGGAGTTTAACAACTACTTCCAAAGTAAGTGCAATGTTCCTTCACTTATCGCGGGTGTTACAATCCAGGACCATCCACGAAAAGTGAAAATCCACAACACATCCTCAACAATACTGAAAAGACATCCCAGCTAAGGTGTATACATTTTCTGACCTATTAATATCATAGGGAACATTTTTTTTAATGTGAGCTAAGATGGATTGAAGGTTTAGGAAGCAGAAATTAAAATTGCCATGTAAATTAGCTCAATTAAACAGAAACTATCAACATGAGATATCTGAACTAAGGGCCTGTGTGCATTACCAAAAACTCCTGGACTCACCTTGAATGGAAGGCGGTCTTCTAAATGCAGTTACTTCTGAGTATGTTGGCTCTATTGTTGTTTGTTTTGATTCAACTTTACCCTGCTTTGGAGGAACTTGGGGGACATACTCTAGTATCCCACGGCTTTGGGGAAGTTGGGACTGCTAGATTGATTACGTCTGATCCACAGATTACGGGACTGAATTGTGGCCATGTCCCGGCTACTTTTAGCTGGCCATGAAGTTAGAGGTCCTGGCCATCACAGGCACCTCTACTAACATCAGAATGGGGCATTCGTGCAATCATCACAAAGAAAGGGGAAATTATCCCCTCCTTTTTCCAGGTCACGCAGGTGTCAGAACTAGGCACCCTGTGATCAGGACAGAGGGGAGACTACCCACTCCTTCATGTTGCTCTTGAGGTGTCCCATTTCCATGTGCGGTGCCTGAAATGGCCAAGACCTTGCACAGAGCTCCATGGCCACAATCCAGTCCTGTAATATGTACTGAATCAGACATGATCTAGCTGTCCCAACTGCCCCAAAGCCATGGGATACTCCAGAGCAGGCCTTCACATCCTCCAGCCCTCCAGGTGTTTTGAAATTCCGCTCCCAGAATTCCTGGCCACTGTAACAGCTGGCTAGAGCTTCTGGGAGTTGGAGGCCCAAACATCTGCAGGGCTGCAGGTTGTGCAGGCCTGCTGCAGAATGTCCCCCAACTTTGCCCAAAGTGGGGTAAAATCAGTTAAAAGCCAAAAATAATCCCTCTCAAAGCATACTCAAAAGTACCGTATTTCATCACACACACACCCCTCTTTTAGGGTCCCGGTTTAGGTATTTTTCTATTCCTCTCATAATAGTTGCATCTCAGCTCACGTGCCTGCCACTTGAAGCAGTCCTTTCAGGGGCAGATGAAGGTGTGAGTTAGAAGACCTCCCCCGGCTGCCGCCAGCTAAGAGAGGCCCCTTAATCTGGCAGGCACACACCAGTAGGGGAGAGCTTCCAGAAGAGGAAGGACACCTCCCTCGCCAGTGCACACCCATATTTCTCCACATAATAGTTGCACCACCTTGCCCAAAAATGGGGAGGCGGGAGTGCAACTATTCTGCTATGAAATACGGTAGCTGTATATCGAGGAGATAGTCGGCCTTCCATTTGGGGTGAGTCCAGGATTTTTTTTACCTATGTAGACAAGCACTTAGTTGGTCCTGATTCCTCATTTTGGCAGCTTGTTAAAATCGGGCTAATTTACCTAGCTCCATGGCTGACCAGGGATGCCAGCGGTGACATGGAGATGAGACGCATGTGGCCTCCTCTGAAGCAGATGCACTTCTGGCACCAGATGCAGTGTAAACTGGAAATATTTGCACTAGGCTAAACTGCTCAGTGTATACTCACCCCAAGACTCCGAGACAATGCATACAACCAGTTTATAACTTATTTAAGATTTCATATTTTATTTATTTAAAATATTTGTACCCTGCCTTTCTCAACTCCTACAGGTGGACTCAGGCTGGCTTACAGCCGGCACAATTCGATGCCCTACATACAAGACAAAATATACAGTAATTACATAAGAATAATATATTAAGTTAATTTAAAATTTTGTTTAAAATTAAAAAGCCATTTACACTAATACTGGCTGTCTAGCCTTATCTAGAATCAAATTCTGCAAACACAACACAATTGGAAGCCTATCCATAGTCCATTTTCCATAACATTTATCATCACTGTCATTATCTGCATGTTACCCAAAAGCCTGGTCCCATGACCACGTTTTCAATTTCCTCCTGAAGGGGAAGAGGGATGTAGTTGACCTGATTTCGCTGGGGAAAGAGTTCCACAGGCAGGGGGCCACCACCCAGAAAGCCCTGTTCCTTGTCCCCGCCAAGCGTGTCGGTGCCAGAGGTGGGGCCGAGAGCAGGGCCTCCCCAGAAAATCTTAAATTCTGAGGTCAGACGTAGAGGGAGATATGTAAGCTGGGCCGGAACCGTATAGGGCTTTATGGGTCAGAACCAGCACTTTGAACTGTGCTCGGAATTGGACCAGCAGCCAGTGGAGCTGACATAACAGAGGGGTGGGATGCTCCCTGTATGACACTCCAGTGAGTAATCTGGCTGCCGCCTGTTGGACTAGTTGAAGTTCCTGATCAGTCTTCAAAGGCAGCCCCATGTAGAGTGTGTTGCAGTAATCTATTCGGGATGTAACAAGAGTGTGGACCACCGTGGCCAGATCAGGCTTCCCAGGGTACGGGTGCAGCTGACGCACAAGTTTTAATTGTGCAAAAGCTCTCCTGGCCACCACCAAGACCTGAGGTTCCAGGCTTAGCAATGAGTCCAGGATCACTCCCAAGCTGCAAACCTGCATCTTCAGGGGGAGTGTAATCCCATTCAACACAGGCTGTAACCCTATGCCCTGTTCGGCCTTCCGACTGACCAGTAGGACCCCTGTCTTGTCTGGATTCAGTTTCAATTTGTTAGCTCTCATCCAGTCCGACACAGCTGCCAAGCACCGATTCAAGGTCTGGAAAGTCTCCGTGGTAACAGGTGGAAAGGAGTGACATTTTTGGACGTCATTTGCATAGAGATAACACCACATTCCTAAACTCCGGATGATCTTTCCCAGCGGCTTCCTGCAGATGTTAAATAACATCGGGGATAATACTGAACCCTGTGGGACTCCACAAGACAAAGGTTGTGGAGTCAAACAGGTATAATCCAATAACACCTTCTGGGACCGTTCCTCGAGGAAGGACCGGAACCACTGCAAGACAGTACCTCCAAGTCCCATACCTATGAGGCGTCCCAGGAGGATATCATGGTCAACGGTATCGAAGGCCACTGAGAAATCCAGCAGAACCAACAGGGACACACTCCCCCTGTCTAGTTCCCAGAGTAGATCATCTACCAAGGCTGTCTCAGTCCCATGCTGCAGCCTAAAGCCAGACCGTGCCAGATCTAGATAATCAATGTCTACCAGGAACCCCTGGAGTTGCGAGGCCACTACAAGTTTCATGACTTTGTCCAAGTAGGGAAGATTGGAAACTGGCCAATAACTGACTAATTGAATGGGGTCCAGTGATGGTTTTTTCCACAGCGGTTTTATAACAGCTTGTTTTAAGCTGGCTGGAATTTTGCCCTCCTGTGAGGAGGCATTAACCACCACCTTAACCCACTCTGCCAAACCCTCTCTGGCTTCTTTTATCCGCCAGGATGGGCAGAGGTCTAGGATGCATGTAGTAGGCCTCACCTCTCCAAGGATCCTGTCGACATCCTTGAACTGAACCAACTGAAATGAATCCATCAATACCGGACAAGGAGGTGTTCGTGCTACATCCTCAGAGACATGGTGTCAAAATCGGAACGAATCAGAGCAACTTTGTCCGCAAAGAACCAAGCAAATGCTTCGCAGCGGGCTGCTGAGTTGTCAGGGATCTTGCTCTGAGGCAGATTTAACAGCCCTTTGACAACTCGGAACAGCTCAGCCGGACGGTTCTTTGCGGACGCAATATTGGCCGCCAGAAAGGATTTCTGTGCGGCATTTATTGCCATGTCATAGGTCCTTAAGAAGGCGTCCAGACGTGCTCAGGCTTCACATGCTTAATAAATTATCTCTAACAATTAAGAACTGCTAGCTTAACCTGACTGGCCTGTAAGTTATCATTAGCCTGTTGGGTGTTAGTTGACAAAGAGAAGAGATTTTGATTTCTTTTGCAAAAAATCACATCCCTTACAATCCCTATTGTTCCCAGTCCATTGGACTGACAGAGAAATAACTCTTCTCATCCTCCCAAACCAGACTGCTCTTTTGCTTCTGCATGAAATCCCATATAGTCACCCTACAAGCAATAATCATGCCTTGCATAATTATCAGGCTAGTATTTAATCCAGGTTTATGCAGGATGTTGCTTTGAGTCCCCTTTGGGGGAGATAAAGCAGAGTATAAATGTCACTTTGTAAAGGCTTTGCAGCCCAATCCTGTATAAGAAGGGGAATGGGGTATGCATGGTCTCCAGATGTTGTTCAATTACAACTGCCATCACTGCTTCCCACTAGCTGTGGTACCTAGAGGTAATGAGAACTGCAGCCCAAGAACACACAGAAGACCACACATTCCTATCCAAATTCTGCATAAATCCACCAAAATTCAGCAGGCTTAGAGACATTTAGCTCCCTATGAATGACTAGTGATTTCCAAATGATTACAGCTAAAGACATTACCAAAAGTGCAAAAGATGGATAGGAGAAATCACTCTGCAGAGGAACCTTCAAACAAGTCCTAGGAGTGGGACAGAGCTAAAAATATGAACATCCTGCAACTCAGCCCCAATCCTATCGTGTTCAGAGAAATACAGTCTAGCTGTATACATCTTTATGCCTATAGATTCACCATTTGCAACCAAAAAACATACACAATGCTGGTCCCCATGCCTTATCTCCTCCAGGGATAAATTAAATTACTAATGCTGATGTTGCTAACTGCAACTGTTGGGTGCTCTGAAAATCTAAATGTACAAGTTTACTCCTAAGGGAACATTCAAGTGCAAAATAGGAGAAGGCTCCTTTTGAAAGTCCAAACTTTCAAACTCAAGACATTAATTCTTTGCTGTCACTTATACTACATCAAATACAGTGGAACAAGTTATTCAGGAACAAGACCATTTGCTCCTATACTGTACATACTTTGAGTGCATGATCCTTCATGTACTTTCTAATGAATCCAGAGGTTTCAAACTGTTTTAAATAAGGAACAACTGCCTGAGTGCATATTCTCTGATTGTACTACCAATAAAATTGGTAGTCTGCCCATGCATGACTGGTATTTATTGAAAAACTATAACAAAATGTGATGCAGGATGTCCCGCAAAAGAACAAATACAAAAGTGTTTGCAGTTTAATAACTGATTCTATCATGTTTTCATGATAGAACCAATTAGGAAATGACACTTATAACCCAGGAACAAAAATAGTGTTACATAGTGTAAAAAGAGTTTTACCTTTTTGGACCTAGGATTCACTTCAAGAGGCTGCACTCACAAAACTCTAAGGGGCTACACCGATTATAACTATTGTGGAGATAAAATCTTCCCGAGGTCACCAAAGGAAACCTTCACAAGCCACACTATGATAAGAGCTTTCTCCATGTGGCTTAAAGCAGGGTGTCCGTTTGGGATCCTTTTTGACCCAAGAAATTTTTATGGGACCCGGTATAGGTATATATATATATAGAGAGAGAGAGAGAGAGATCAAGCATTTACTTATAAAAGACCAGTGTCTGTGAAGTATAGCTGGGGCACTTTCTGCAGATTTGTTTTATATATATATATATATATATATATATATATATATATATATATCCCTTTTTACCTCTCCAGATGGAGACTCAAAGCAGCTCACAATTAAAAACACTAACATACACACATACAGTACCATTATATATTATCTGCAGTATTTAAATTAATATATTTGAATTATTGTATTACAATATTATCATTACACTACCCGTCCCCACCAAGCATTGTTGTGGCCCACAAGGAGGTTCTGTGTGGGAGGTTTGGCTCAATTCTATCATTGGTGGGGTTCAGAATGCTCTGTGATTGTAGGTGAACTATAAATCCCAGCAACTACTATTTTCCCCAAACTCCACCAGTGTTCACATTTGGGCATATTGAGTATTCTTGTAGAGTTTGGTCCAGATCCATCATTGTTTGAGTCCACAGTGATCTTTGGATGTAGGTGAACTACAACTCCAAAACCAAAGGACACTGCCCACCAAACCCTTCCAGTATTTTCTTTTGGTCATGGGAGAACTGTGTGCCAAGTTTGGTTCAATTCCATCGTTGGTGGGGTTCAGCATGTTCTTTGATTGTAGGTTTTAGTATAGATTGTAGTATAAATCCCAGCAACTACAACTCCCAAATGACAAAATCAATTTTTTTGCGTGAAGGACATACATTGGGTAGTTAGGTGTCTTGTGTCCAAATTTGGTATCAATTCGTCCAGTGGTTTTTGATTTCTGTTAATCCTACAAACAAACATTACATTTTTATTTATATAGATAGACATTGTATCATAATTAATGTTATATTGTATTACTTTACAATATTATTAATAATATTATATGTATATATAATACACTATATTTATTTCTCACATTTGTATCCCGTCCTTTTCATCCCTGAAGGGGGACTCAGGACGGCTTCCCAATGGGCATTTATTTAATAAAGGATAAAAGCAATTAAAACAATTTGTTAATGCTTTAAAATTACTAAAACATAGTTTAAATTACACAGGTTTGAAATCATAGTCCAGATCAGTCCATTGTCATTCACACAAACTGGGCCTCATCCTAAATTACTGCCTCTACTGTTTGAACACTTGGTCCCATAACCACGCTGCCCATCATTTGGACATTGGAAAACTTGTGCGGGTGCTTGTTTTCGGGGTTCCCCTGCCTCTCCTGTTGCTTCAGACCACTTTTTCCATCAGCCCACTTTGGTTGGGATTCAATGTTTACTTTTAAGCTCTTTTTTGCATTTCTATTCGAATTATTGTATATTTATTTTAAGCTTTTTTATTGTATTTCTATTTGAACTACTTCTAAAATTGTTATTGTATTTATATTCGAATTATTATCTCATGTATTGTCGAAGGCTTTCATGGCCGGAATCACTGGGTTGCTGTAGGTTTTTTCGGGCTGTATGGCCATGGTCTAGAGCAGTGCTTCTCAACCTGTGGGTCCCCAGATGTTTTGGCCTACAACTCCCAGAAATCCCAGCCAGTTTACCAGCTGTTAGGATTTCTGGGAATTGTAGGCCAAAAACATCTGGGGACCCCAGGTTGAGAACCACTGGTCTAGAGGCATTCTCTCCTGACGTTTCGCCTGCATCTATGGCAAGCATCCTCAGAGGTAGTGAGGTCTGTTGGAACTAGGAAAAGGGGTTTATATATCTGTGGAATGACCAGGGTGAGACAAAGGACTCTTGTCTGCTGGAGCTAGGTGTGAATGTTTCAACTGACCACCTTGATTAGCATACAATGGGCTGACTGTGCCTGGAGCAAACTTTTGCTGAGAGGTAATTAGATGTCCCTGCCTGCTTCCTCTCTGTTGTTGTGCTGTTGCAATTTTAGAGTTTTTTAATACGGTAAAGGTAAAGGTTGTTCCCTGACATTAAGTCCAGTCATGTCTGACTCTGGGATGTGGTGCTCATCTCCCATTTCTAAGCCGAAGAGCCGACGTTGTCTATAGACACCTCCCGTTACATTCTCACAGGAGCGGTACCTATTGATCTACTCACATTTGCATGTTTTCAAACTGCTAGGTTGGCAGAAGCTGGGCTGACAGCGGAAGCTCACGCCGCTCCCCGGAATCGAACCTGCGACCTTTCAATCAACCAGCTCAGCAGCTCAGTGCTTTAACCCACTGTACCACCGTAGCCAGTATTAAATAACAGAGAGGTTGTTGAAACCTCACACCTGGTCAGTTGAAACATTCACTACCTCTGAGGATGCTTGCCATAGATGCAGGCGAAACGTCAGGAGAGAATGCCTCTAGACCATGGCCACACAGCCCGAAAAAACTTACAACAACCCACTTATTATCTCATGTTTATTATTGTATGCTTAAATTGATATGTTAATTGTTTAAATTCATATGTTATGTTCATTATTATATGTGTAATGCAGCATTGTATGCCACGAAATGTAAGCCACCCTGCGTCCCCCACTGGGGTGAGAAGGGTGGAGTATAAATGTAGTACAATAATAAATAATAATAATAACCAGGTTTTGAGTTTAGCATATATTATAATACAGCCACTAGGTAACATTCAGAAAATTTTGGATGGATGTTGGAACTTGCAAGGATTGGCCACGCAACCTTGCTGGGGCGCATCTACATGTAGAAGTCATGCACGTTGATACCACTTTAACTGCATGGCTCAGTGCTATGGAATCGTAGGAGTTGTAGTATGGTGAAGCACCAGCAGAGATGGCTAAAGGCGTTAAAAGACTCCAACTGGAAGGATTCCACAGCACTGGACCATGGCAGTTCAAGTGGTGTCAAATTGTATTGATTGTACAGTGTAGACTAGGCCTGGGCAAACTTGGGCCTTCCAGGTGTTTTGGACTTCAACTCCCAGCATTCCTCACAGCCTCAGGCCCCTTCCTTTTCCCCCTCAGCCGCTTAAGCGGCTGAGGGGGAAAAGGAAAGGGCCTGAGGCTGTGAGGAATACTGGGAGTTGAAGTCCAAAACACCTGGAGGGCCTAAGTTTGCCCAGGACTAAGTATAGATGCATTCCCATAAGGCCTGATGCTTCCTAGCTCGGCTTCCCATTAGGTTCAACACAAGTCTCTTCCAACATTCGAGGCCTGGAAAAGTTGGCCTAAGCAAGGCCTTATTTTGCTTGACTCCTCCGGTTCCTCTCTCGCCGCCGAGGCCTCCTCCCTTCACTCTCTCGCCTGGAAATAACCCCCGGCCCCGAAGGCGAAGGGCCCCGAGCAGCTCCGGGAGTCGCCCACCCCTTCCCCAAAGGCGCCCCCGCGGAGGATGTCAAGGGATGCGCGGCTTACCGGCTGGGAAATGGAGGCACCCTCTCCGCCGGCAGCGCCGAGAGAAAGAGCGAAGGGAGGCGCGCAAAGCCTGATGGGAACTCGCCGTAAGGTCCTGGCAGATCGCGCAAGTCCTTTCACAGGGAAGGACGGTTGGCGCCGCTTGTTCGACGCTTCTGCTACGAACCGATATCTAATATAATCGGCGTATAGTGCCCACTGCCGGGAATGGCGTATTGAAATATTCGGGTCGTTTTTATTTTAATTATTATTTCTGATAGCGACGTCCAGGACCTTTATGTACGTCACTTCCGCCAAGGGGCGCCAAGCGGCAGCGGCTCTAATGGAACATAGAAGTAAGAAAATGTAGAGGGATCTACGACTCAAGACCACATGAAAATTCCGGGTTAGGATGGGACACACGTTTTTGGTTCTCGCTTACAGAAATGAGATCCTCCTTGAGGAAAACGCCACTCATCAGAGACTGTGGGAAAGTGATAGGGACAGCGACAACTGGTGGCAAAACTGTGATGGTGCAGTTGTTTGCCCTCCTATAACTCAAGGATGATCTGCTTGATTTTTTGGAGGTGTTGTTTGCCTTAGTCTCTGCTAACTTGAGTTTCTTGGCAATCTTGTTCAGAGGGGTTTGTCTTTGCCTTCCTCTGAAGCTGAAAAAGTAGTTTCTTACTGAAATACAGTAACATGCAATTAAGATCAATGTAAATTAGGTAAGGATCTCTTGGGAAGACAAGCGGACAAACGACAGCGTGCTGGAAGAAGCAAAGACCACCAGCACTGAAGTGATGGTCCTCTGCCATCAACTCCGTTGGACCAGCCACGTTGTCCGGATGCCTGACTACTGTCTCCCAAAGCAGTTGCTCTACTCCGAACTCAAGAACGGAAAATGGAATGTTGGTGGACAGGAAAAGAGATTTAAAGATGGGCTCAAAGCCAACCTTAAAAACTCTGGCATAGACACTGAGAACTGGGAAGCCCTGGCCCTTGAGTGCTCCAGTTGGAGGTCAGCTGTGACCAACAGTGCTGCAGAATTTGAAGAGGCATGAATGGAGGACGAAAGAGAGAAATTTGCCAAGAGGTAGGTGCATCAAGCCAACCCCAACCAGGACCGCCTTCCACCTGGAAACTGATGCCCTCACTGCGGGAGAACATGAGGGTCAAGAATAGGGCTCCACAGTCACCTACCGACCCACCGCCAGGACACTACACTTGGAGGACCATCATCCTCGGACTACGAGGGATCGTAGCCTAAGCCTAAATAAATTAGGTTAAGGTTTCCCCTAACATTAAGTCTAGTCTTGTCTGACTCTGGAGATCGGTGCTCATCTCATCTCCATTTCTAAGATGACGAGCCGGCATTGTCCGTAGACACCTCCAAGGTCATGTGGCCAGCATGACTACATGGAGTGCCATTCCTTTCCCATGTATCTACTCACATTTACATGTTTACAAACTTCTAGGTTGGCAGAAGCTGGGGCTAATAGCAGGAGCTCACCCCGCTTCCCGGATAAGAACCACCAACCTTTCAGTCAGCAGGTTCAACTCGCTCCACCACCAGGGGACAATTACAAAGAGACAAAATGTGGTTGATATTGAGGTAGTGAATAAAATATTACATTAGAAGAATGTGAACTTCAGTGTCAGCCTTTGTTATGTGTATTCGAATATATGAATGTTAAGGGTATTATATTTCTTCTGTTTTAACTGTGTTGTACCCACCCACCTTGAGCCAAGGGGAGAAGCAAGTAACGGTTATTGTCATTGCTATTATTACTGTTATTGAAATGATTACATTTTATATAAATATTACTTGTGTTTTTGGCATTGATATTAATTATGTAATTAGCAGAAGCTGAAATTCAAATAAGAAGAAACAAGTGTAATAGTTTGATAGCTGCCTCTGCTTGTGGAGAGGGGAAGTCAGTTGTGTTTTTAAGGTTAATATCACTATTATTATAAAAAAGGAGACAGTTTGTTAGTTGTAGGGATGTGGGTTATTTTTGTGTTTCTGTCTTCTGTTGTTTGGTTTTTGTTTATTTATCCTTTAATTTTTTTTTAATTTGAGTTACACTCTGGAAAAGCCAATAAAATTAATATTAGAGAAAATAATTACGGAAATTTGAAGCAGAGGCTGGAGGGCCATCTATTGGGAGTGCTTTGATTGGGCATTCCTGCGTTGCAAATGGGATTGGACAATATGGCTCTTGTGGTCTCATCCAAATGTGAGCCCCCCCCCCTTTTTTTTTCTTTTTAAATTTAAAACAAACAAAAATGGAGGGGAAATGAACAGTCATCTTAGTCATCTGAAGATCAAAATAAAATAGTTTAATTATACAAATTAGTACCAAAAATGATCATGCTACACACGACAATACACAATTCTGTCAACCTAAATAAGTAACTGGAGGAACAAATTTATTTATTTATTTATTATTTACGACATTTATGTGCCGCCCTCCTCACCCTGAAGGGGACTCAGAGTGGCTTACAAGTAATATGTAAATACAATATATTAAAGTATTACCATAGCACAATATTAGTATTATATATTACTATATTGTACCATACCATCATAGTGTAATATTATCACAGTCTTTCTGTTTGTACTAATGTAAGAAATAAAGAGGAGTCTAGTTGCTAAAAAAGGCATACTCTCTATTACTTCTAATACATTTTTACCTAGTTCATTCATTTTGCTACTAAGGCCATGTTCCACAATTCATCTACTGACAATTGCACTGCACTCTTCCGGTTTATACATCTAAGCGTACCAATTCATGAAAACAACCAAAATTTTGAGATAATGTTGAGTCATTGTTTTGATTCAGCAAAAAACAACTGCTGAGTCAATATTCTGAGTTGTGATTTTACTCTTCTCTTTATATACTTCTTTCCAAAAACACATGGAGATACAATCCTACTCCACTGTCTCCAGTATCTACTGTTTCACTCTTTAAACTATTATTTTCAATGCACAAACATCATATACCACTTATTTAGCATTTTAGAGAGTTCTTTGATGTTTGCAGAACTCAGAGCAATGGGTTCAAATTACAGGAGAGGGCAAGATTGTTTTCTGCTGCTTTGGAGACTAGGACACAGCAAAAGATTCAAACTACAAGAAAATAGATTCCACCTGAACATTAGGAAGAACTTCCTGACTGTGAGAGCCGTTCAGCAGTGGAACTCTCTGCCTCAGAGTGTGGTGGAAACTCCTTCCTTGAAAGCATTTAGACAGAGACTGGGTAGCTATCTGTTGGGAGTGCTTTGATTGTGCTTTTCCTGCATGGCAGGGGGTTGGACTAGATGACCCATGTAGTCTCTTCCAACTCTATGATTCTATGATTTTGTTTGCCCAACTGACCATAACTTTATCTATATCTTTAACAGAACTTTTAATATTAAGATTTGAATTTTTCCAGAGAGTTAAGAAGTGGCTTCCTCTATGAGGCATCTTACACTAAATGTAGAGCCCAGTTGCAACCAAATATACAATAATGCAAAACCAAGAGGCAGTCTGAGGTAAAATGCATTATGATATAGGTTGGAAATATCAACTACTTCCTATGGTGGCTTAAAATAAAATTATTGTTATGAATCTTGTCTTTTTTTCTTTTTATTAATGCAATTTATAAGTGATGTTGCGATAGCTGATGATTAGACTGGTAATCACATTTGAAGAGAAGAAAACCCTAAGCATTCTTCAGCTTCAAACACTTTCCCAAAGAGATCTATAGCATGACTGTGCATGTAGCAACAGGTAACTGGAGTCCATGTTTACTAACTGCCAGGAATCCTCTTTTTTTGTTTCCATATATTTCCCAAAATGATTTCCCCCATACCTTTAATCACCTTGTTTTGCTTCAAAAGTTGCCTTATTACAGCAGTTCCAAAGTCGCAACTCAAGACATGTTAGTATTGTCAAAAGTTTCTAAACACTATCAAATATAATAATCATGCTTCCGGGAGTCTGGGTCTCCATAGGTCACGTAGCCCTGGTCGTTGACTGGCCAGCTGCGGTCAGGAGTGTAAATGCTGGGATAGACTGGGAGCTTGCGAGAAACACGGTGGAACAGAGGATGACCGCCATCGTGCTCCATTTCTGGGAAGTACAGTTTGTCGAGAAGATGCCCTGGCCAGAAGTTATTGGGGTCCGTCAGAGGATTCAGGAAGGTAAACATTTTCATCAGCTCTCTGTTAAAGCAACAACAACAAAATGGTTAAGTTGGGAAGGACATACTGTAAAACAAATTAATTTTTTTTCCATTTTTTTTCATGTCAGGAACGACTTGAGATTTCTGGTGTGAGAGAATTGGTCGTCTGAGAGCCAGTACAATGAAATTATTTGAGTACTGACTATACATCTTTGGAGACTTGAGTTTGTATACACACACAAACACACAACATTTCCAATTCCCACCACCACCACGAGAATAGTTTTGTTTTACATATTAATCCTTATAGATTTACATACTGTATAACATTTGCATCCTATTTCTTGTGCCCTGATCTCTAAACTTACTCATAATATAACTCTTGACCCAGTCCCATCTTTCAATTTCTCGCATTCTATTTTCATTACCTTTTGAATCATTTAATTTTACACCCATAATTTCGAACTCCATTTGGTCCACCATATACTGATACCATTAATTTACTGTCCACTTGGATTTGCCTTTCCATCCCAGTACTATCACTGCTTGTGTGCACTCAATTATTGCTTCCTTTATTTCCCTGTAATTTCCAATTCCCTCTCTTTTTACTAAGACCACAATTTCTTTTGTTATAACCCAATCAGTTCCTTATATTTGGTTTCACACATTTTTTATAGTATGTCAGAAGAACTGTACTTGTTCGCATTCCCACATCACGTGCATAAACCATCCTTTCTGTTGCCATCCATGCTAGCACTGACTGCTCCCCTTTTTATAATAATATGCTAATTGACAGGGTGTACAATACCACTTATGTAATACTTTCCTCCTCGTTGCTCTTACTTTTATATTCCTTGTCATCCCCATTGCTTCTGCCATTTGTCTTATATCTTGTTCGGTAATTTGTAACTCCGTTTCCCACATGCTTTTCTTCCTGAACCATTTCTGGTGTCTCTAGTATTGAACACCTGTCAGTTTGCTCTTATTATGTTGAACTGTGGTTTACTTTCAAATAAGACCCCCAAACTTTTATGCTCACAATTAAAATATATATATATAGTTTGGGGAAAAACATTGCACAAAAGTTGGAAGGAGATAAAAGAATTGTGGGCTTAAATTAGCAAATAGTCACCCATTGATCACTTTAAGTAGTAATGAAAGAATACTGCACTGTACCTTTCTATGTATTCTTCTTCAACCATTTCTGGCGTCTGTAGTATGCTTTCATAGATGGTTCTATTTTTCCAGAAATTCACCGGAGGAAGAATTCTTTTTGAGCGGTTTCTGGAAAAGCGATACATGTTATGAGAACGGATCCGTTATGAGAACGGATTCTGATTTGCTATTGAGGCGTTACGATATGATAATGATTGTTTGTGATTTTGTCTGTTATGTATAATGTGTTTTAATTGCTTATGATATTGTTGTGATAACCTGTATTATGTAAACCGCATTGAGTCGCCTAACCGGGCTGAAAAATACGGTATAGAAATAAAGCAAAGCAAATAAATAAATGTTCAACTCAGAAAAAGTCAAGGAGGAAATAAGAAACTGGGGTCCAATTTGAGGATGGAATTGGAGTGAAGGACAAAATGAGACCACAATTCTTGCCAAAGGTATTCTTCTCTCTACTGAAATATTCCTTTCCTCCCCCCAACTTTCTACTGCAATGACTACCATATATACTTGAGTATAAGCTGAATTTTTCAGTCCTTTTTTTAGACTGAAAAAGTCCCGCTTGGCTTATACTCGAGTCAAAGTTATTTATTATTTTACTCTATTGTTATTATTACATTTATTATTTTTAGTCTATTTATTATTATTACATTTACATTATTTTATTCTATTTATTATTATTATTACATTTATTATTTTACTTTATTTATTTATTTGACTATTTATTTACTATTATTATATTTAGTATATTATTTTACTCTATTAATACTGTTATTATTACATTTCCATGATTTTACTCTATTATTATTATTATTATTATTACTTTTAAAATTTTACTCTCTTTATTATTATTGGAAGGATACGTAAGCACATTTGCATTGAAGAAGGTAAGAATTATGGTTTAGTCAGAGTTAGACAGTCTTATCTTAAATTACAATTTTATGTAAATATTAAAAAACATTTAACCTACTGATGCCTCACTTAATGTAATTTTATTGGTATCTATTTTTAGTTTGAAATTTACCAGTAGCTGCTGCATTTCTCACCCTCGGCTTACACTCGAGTCAATACGTTTCCTCAGTTTTTTGTGGTAAAATTAGGTGCCTCAGCTTATATTCGGGTCAGCTTATACTTGAGTATATACAATAGTTAAAATTTCAGTGGAACTTTTAGAGACACAATTTACGTATCAAAATTAGATGGACAGGCAAAGTTAGTAAAGGAATGTGAACATAGCAAAAGTAATAGTTCTAGTTGCAAACAATTTCACAGCCCAACAAAAAAAAAACTGCTTTTGGTTTTTAAGTCTGTTCTTGCGGTTATTTGAGACCACTGATTCAGAAAATTGCATTAGATAGACAACATTGGCTCTAGTTTCTTAGATATACTGATCATGATTTTCTATGATCAGCATAGAAAATATGTTCTATATATCAAAAACTAGAGGTGAAAGGGGAAAACTGGTGCAATTTTTGGTATCAGCAGGTCCAATAGACACAGAAACAGGACTAACATTTGAGGCACCTAAATATGTGTTGGCCAGTATTTTCAATGTATTACTCTACGCAATGCTAGAAATGAAGTTGCTTACGCTGCCAGGCAAAAAAAATACCATGTAGCTGTCATATCTTTCCCTCCTTCTCCGTGGAAAAAAAGAAAACAGAAGAAAAAGTGGCAAAATATGGGAGGCATTTAAGTGAAGGACAATGCCATCCAGATCATCTGTAACAGTCTTTCCCAAACTTTGATCTTCCAGATGTTTTGGACTTCAGCTCCCAGAATTCCTGACAGTTGGCCAAGCTGGCTGTGGCTTCTGAAGTCTGAAACAGCTGGAGGACCATTGCTTGGCAATTACGGCCCCTTAAAACCCTGTGAGAGAAGCCAGGGGATTGCACAGAGAAAGTTTCCTCTAGATGCACCACAACAGGAAGGAATGAACAAATCTATAAAGCTGAACAATCTCAGTTACTACAGAGCTCTATTTTTAAAAACCCCAAATGTGGAGACTTGAGACAGTAACGTACTCTTATTCATCTATATTCGAGTAATACCTGTCTTAGAGTACTAAATGCATGCCTGTTTTTGAGAGGTTTAAAGAGCTCTTCATCAGGCATCAAGTTACAAAAAGCAAGCAGAAAAACAAAAAAGCTTCTTAAAGCTATGGGATCTGCATAGTGAGAGCAGGTGTAATGGAGGAAAGAAGGGGTATGCAAACATTGGCATGAGGTAGGTACTAGATTTCAGAAAAGTTTGTTCCTCCATTTTTTAAAACCTGAAATGCCGCTGAATGCTCAGAACTCCCCCCGTCCTGAACTGAACCTCACTTATTCCTTTCCTGGTGAAAAACAGAGCAATTTAGCCATCTTTTTACTGCCAAGATGGGATAACAAGTTGCTAGATTGGGCAAAGGAAGTCAGTAGAAAGTGAATTGGATAATTCCACTTGTCCCCAGTGCATCTGACATACCTCATTAGTCTCCTAAATTCTGCATATGACATCCAGCGGTATTTCAGAGGCTTCCCCTCTTCGAGGTCTTCCTTTTCCTCCGTCACCTTAGGCTTTCTGTGGGAGAATGAAAAATGAAAGATTTTAGAGAAACAAGAGGATAAAACACTGAACATGGATTTTCCAAATCCTTAAACTATACACTGCAGCAAAATGAGGTAACATTTAAAAAACCCAAATGTTGCTGAGAAAATATACACGTTTATGCATGCAAATGCTTTAAGAATTGATAACATGAAGAATATTATATCTTGGTATTCGAGCATGTGAGCAGCCCATAAAGGCAATGCATAGGACTGTATGCGGACGTAGTGGAGCTAATGCCTGTAATTGTCATGTTAATTACCTGTAATTAACATGACACAGGTAAAACAAGGAAAATAATAATAAATCAGGCTTCCTGTGACTGCATCCTGCTTGGTCTCAACACAAAGTTCACTTTCTTTTCTACCAGCAGCAGAGAGATGCCTCTTGACACATGATGGTTACAGCCATCACTAATTGATTGTGTTTTTCTAATTTGTTGTTGTTTGCTTTGTTTACCTTTGCTATATTATTCATTTTATTGTGTTCTTCTGACATCAAATGGCTGCCATTTTTGTTGTGAGCCGTCCCAAGTCCCCGGTGGGGAGATGGGATGGGATACAAATAAAATTTATTATTATTATTATTATTATTATTATTATTATTATTATTATTATCATTACTACTACTACTACTACTTGTTATTAGCATCTTGTACTACAAGAAAAAACATTTTGTCAATTTTGCTCTGTCCTAACTGTTATGCAAGATATTGTTATGGCTAAAATAATTATAAGATCCTTTTATTTAAAAATGCCAGAAGGGTCAAAGAGACATAAAATACTTTGCCCAACATTACAGAGTAAGTTCATGGTTGCAAGAAAACTATGTCCCCAGTCTCCCAGTGCTTCATTCTATCTACTAAACTATGTAAATTCTGAAATTAATGCTAAAAATAATGTTCTCCAAAATGGAATGAAACACTACAAAATTCTGCAATATCTAAATCTTGGCTCTAATTTGACAGGAAATTATTTTCTGTTTGGAAATGCTATAAGCTTTAAGCACATTTGATTGTTTATTTAACTAGTGTCCGAAATATTAAAAATTAACTAGATATTTTAAATTACAAAAATGTGAGTCAAGCACTGAAAGGGTCAAATGGATGTAATGACTTAGCAAAAGCTGGCAGTTTTATATAAGCAGGTGTGCCTGTAGCTTGGTAACAGTCAGTCTGAGGTTAACCTCAATGGGAGAAGGATCTTAGTCTGTGAGAGAAGCCTCTGTGTGAAGTAGGCCTTAGTCTATGAAAAGGCCGAATGTGTGAAGCTCCAGTGTGAAGGCTGAACTTTATTTGTGTCATGGAAACCTTGTTGTTGTAAATAGTCCAACCATATTATTTTGCTATAAAGAAAGGCTTCCTGTGGAGGAGATAACATTAGTCTGTGTGTTTTTGTTCTTTTTATCACTTTTAGCTACTAGTGCTGGGTCACACTGCTGCTGCTAAGTTACTCTGCTGTGGATTTATGAGGAGGGTCTTTTATAAATAAGTCCACTTGCCCTACAATCAGCTGTAAAAGAATAAACATAACAGCCAAATCATTTGTGTAGTCTTCAGTATACCTGGTCACAACAAATAATACTAGACACAGTGATGCTAATCCAGTCTGAGAAATTGCAAGGACTTATGTGTCAAGGATGATTCCCTTATCAGGACGATAAGGGAATCATCCTGAAAAAACATTCACTTATTTATTTCAATGTATTTGATTTATTGTTATTCTGCCTTTGTTCTGGCATGGGACCCAAGGCATCTTACAGCTAAGCTAAAACAAGTTAAATAAAAAACTGATGATAAAAGTGTTACAGCACCATTAAAATAGTGATGATTAAAATGCTATTAAAACTCTGAAGTGTAAAATCATTGAGAAACACAGCAATAAATATTTTAAAAATCACTTCCCATAAAGACTCCTTGCAACCAATCAATCATTAAATTCTCATTTGAATGAAAAGGTCTTTGCTGGTAAAGAAAGTGCAAAAAGGGGGCCAGCCTAGCCTCTTATGGAAAGGAAGCAGCCATTGAAAAAGGCTACTGAAATCCCAAATAGGCCTGTGAGGGAGGGGGAACCATGAAATAGAAGACTGAACAAACCCTTTTTTAACTGGAGAAGTGCTTCGTGATTCTTCATCTGATGATGATGGTTCAGGACGAAGAGATTTAGAATAGTAACCTCCAGGTTGCCTCATTTTCCGGAAGTGATTTCCATCTCTTAGGATTTTATCTCCTGGGTACAAGAGACCTAATGATACAGAAAATACGTATATATATTTAAAAGAAATAGTCAGAAATAATGGTACCTAAGTATGACAATATTTCTACAATTCCACCCATGATTTTAACAGGAGTGGAGCGCAGGGAGCATACAACCCCCCTGTTGCGCCAACTCCACTGGCTACTGATCTGCTACCGGGCTGAATTCAAAGTGCTGGCGTTGGCCTTTAAAGCCCTAAATGGTTCCGGCCCAAGCTACCTATCTGACCGCATCTCTGCCTATGAACCCACCAGGACTTTGAGATCTTCCGGGGAGACCCTGCTCTCGATCCCGCCTGCTTCTCAAGCTCGGCTGGCGGGGACGAGAGATAGGGCCTTCTCGGTGGTGGCTCCTCGGCTGTGGAACGCCCTTCCTACGGACATTAGACTAGCACCATCTCTAATGGTATTCCGCAAAAAAGTGAAGACCTGGCTGTTTGAGCAGGCGTTCGAATAATTAGTGCAATGATTGGTTAATGAACACTGGAATGGAACAATGGATGACGAATCTGGAATCATGTTTTTGATGATGAGACGATAATGAATGGTTATTGTAGTAATTGTTATTAATTATGTAATGTGTTAGGTTATTAACTGTTTCTATACTGTAGCACTGAATTTTTGCTGTTCGTATTTGTTGTGAACCGCTGTGAGTCGCCTTCGGGCTGAGAACAGCGGTATATAAGTAAGGTAAATAAATAAATAAATACAATTCTAGTCTGTGCTAACCAATTTATCCTAGATTATCTGTTGATTTGTTTCTCCATGAGTAATTGAGTGATGGAAATCTAGATTGTAAGAGGTTAAAATAGCCACTGCGTTCTACTACTACTGCCATAATAGATTCATTTAACAAAATGTTTAATATGAATTAAGTGGGTATGAATATAAGTTTGTATGTCACTCAATATCCCATCTTATGGGGATTTATCTCCCATTGTTAGTCCCAGCTTCTGCCAACCTAGTGATTCAAAAACATGCAAATGTGAGTAGATCAATAGGTACCGCTTCAGCGGGAAGGTAAGAGTGTTCCATGCAGTCATGCCGGCCACATGACCCAGGAGGAGTCTATGGACAATGCTGGCTCTTTGGCTTAGAAATGGAGATGAGCACCCCCCTGCCCCCGAGTTGGACACAACTAGACTTAATGTCAAGAGGAAACCTTTACCCTTTACCTCTTATTCTAAAGCCTATGAATTCCATAATCATGAAGCCCAGAAAATGCTCTCTCTGTGTTAACACTATATTTGCAATCAAAGCAAAGATAATTGGGATTCTGGACCATTTATGGAACTCTTATACAAAACTAGCCATCCCCTGCCACACGTTGCTGTGGCCCACTCTGTATATATGTATTTTGTGTGCAAAAAATGTGTGTGTGTATGTGGTTTTGCACATGCATTGTAATGTATTTTTTTATTTTTTGACTTTTTATGTCTCTTCTGCTTTTCAGTGTTTTTATGAGTGATGGTCACTCATTGGCCTGATATGTGTATTGTGTCCAAATTTGGTGTCAATTCATCCAGTGTTTTTTGAATTATGTTAATCCCACAAATGAACATTACATTTTTATTTATATAGATGAGTCGCAGCAATATATACAGCCCTTTGCTGACTTATACAGCATAGTTCTACATATCTTTACTCAGGCGTCAATCCCATAAATTCAATGAAATGTGCTCTGTAACAAGTAAGATTAGGGCTCCTGTTCCACATTATAATCCTGTTAATGGGCTGGCTAAAGTGGAGTTGATATTAGGCACAAACAGAAATCCCCTTCTGACCTCAGAATCCTATTCACCAGGCTGATCTGAGAGAACTGCTAACAGAAGGATCTACTGGCAGAATTGGTGTGCTGTCCAAGAACTGCTGCCAGAAGAGTCAATAAAAGGGCAGAGCAGAGAGGAAACACAGCCAAGTCCATGAACACAACATCAGCACAAAACAGAGTCAGTTGTCCTGGGGCCCTTCCACAGGATGGAATATTATGGCAGAATAACTCACAATACCTGCTTTGAACTGGGTTATCTGAGTCCACACTACCATATATCCCAGTTCAAAGCAGATGATGTAGATTTTATTCAGCTGTGTGGAAGGGGTCCTAGATATCTTCTGAATTCAGCACAACTCCAGCTGAGGACTTTCCCCACCACAGTTAGAGCACTGCGATTCTACATTAACTGCCATGGCTCTGACTATTATGGCATCCTTGGATTTGCAGTTGAGGGAAGAATACTGTGAATTCTCAACCAGGGAACTCTATTGTCTCAGAGCAAACGACAAAGGATTCCACAAGGTACAGTCAAGACAGGTATGGTGGAACCATAGTGCCATAACTGAAAGGGCCCCTGGTCCAATCAACTGCACTCTTTCATATAACAAACTTACTCCATAAAACCTACAAATACCTATTTGTATTTTGATTTTTATCCATCTTGTATACACGCAGAGTCCTAATGGCATGGCTTGGATTTATGGCATTTTCCTTCCCTCACCCCCTCCCCCCAATTCCATGGTTTTACTATACCTTTCTTCAGAGCTTTTTCAGAAATTGGAATTCCATATTTCCTACAAAGCTTGACACACTGAGTCCAGACCAGGTGGCAAGCCAGACGGTGTTTGTCCACCAGTTCCCCCACTTCGCCTTCCATGGTGCTTGGCAAGCAGTGTTCGTCCACTGCCCGGTCCCCGGTTCTCACCATTCGGCACTGTTCTGCAAAGTCTAGGGGGTTGATTTTCATCTGTGACAATGAGATAATTAACCTTTGGTTGTAAGAATAGCTATGGAAGACCAAACCAAAGAATCAAGTAGTCAAGTATCCTCTCTATACAGAAGACACCAATACCCCAGAAAGTACTAGTTCAGGCATGGGCAAACTTCAGTCTTCCCAAATTTTGGCCCTTTGGCCAGTAGGCCGTTAGGAATTGTGGAAGTCCAAAACACCTGAAGGGCCGAAGTTTGCCCATGTCTTTTCCAATTCCACTCCCAAAACAGCTATCCTACCAATGTTGGAAATAGCAACCTTCTTCGAGCCTCCACTAGTTAATTGTTATGTATATCATTGAGACTTTATTAGACTCTCAAAACAGAGAGATGCTTTAGACTTTGGATTGTTGATTCTAAGAATGGGGCCCTGTGTTATCTGCACAGAGAAACTACTTCAAATCCTATCTGCAATTGGATTGATAAGCAATGTACCTGTATGCTAAATACATGGAGTTTGTTAGTAGACCAACTATGTTACTTTTAAAGAAGCCTACTTGTTTTTGGTCTCTTGAGAGCATGATTTCAACCAAGATGTTTTAAGGGAGAGTAGATGTTTTTTGGGTAACTGAAAGAACATTTCTGAATCTCTGTTGTTTTTTGTGCATTGGCATTATCTTTGTCCCTAACAGTTCAAAGAGATTTCTAGGTATATCAGTTTAACAACTGAGAAACTTAACTAGTGGATATTTACCACTAAGGAGAAGGTTGACTCAAATAAAATTTTAACTCTTTTCAGGAAGATCACACTTTACAAAAGGTTATGATTTCTAACAAGGTTATGGCTTTCCAAAAGATTCCAGGTTTTCCCAAATGGTAATGAAAGTCATTTTACAAAAGGTTTTGGAGATTTCCATTTCCCAAAAGGTTATGTGATCAAAAATCAAGACCTCCTGCAGAGCCCTAGCTCACTGTAACCTCATATTCTGTATTGCAAGATCTCTGCCATTTCATCCTATACGATGAAATCAGCTGCTTGTTGCTGAAGGTCTGTCATCACACAAGGTAAACATGTTATGTTTAAAACTCCCAATCCCACCCACCACCTCCCTAGCAGTGTGCCCCTCATCCTTTCTCAAATGCTTGATGGAGAAGAAATGTCTTAAGGCCATCCCGATATGTCTTGGGAGGGTGATCCAAAGTCTGGGAGCAGCCACTGAAAAGCAACTGCTATCAGGTAACCCTCAAGATGAAGACAAGAACTATGTTTCCACAGTACCTTTAGCAGCCGTCTCATATCCCTGTATCTCTTCCCAACCACTTCCATTTCACTGTAGGTTAGGGGCATGCGGTCTGGCTCAGTGTTGGTAGGAGGAACTTCCAAATAGTCCATTTGATGCAATGCAAGTTTGCTTTTGCTCCGAGCAATGGAAGAGGCTTTGGGGACACAGGGCACTCTGGTATCTTTATTAAGAAGTCACCAGGATTAGAAAGAGAGAGAACATATATCAGGTTATAAACACATACAAATATTTCTTCCACCGAGAAAACATCCCTCTCCCCCCCAAAATACTTCAAAGACACCCTGAAGTTTTCATACTGAATCATGTTGGCTCTTTCTCTTTGTTTATAGAAGAATCCCCGATTGATCAAACTATGGGAAGCCCACAATGAGGATGTGAGGGAAATACCACCTTCCTGCACATGTTCCCCAGCAATTGGCGACAGAGACACGCTGTCTCTGATAGTGAAGGTAATATACCAGCTATCTTAACAAACTGAAAAGCTACTTTTTGGGATAAAATTTCCTAGAAACTGCCAACTAACTTGGGCATGGGCTAAGAGAGCTGTTGTTCCAAAAAGTAACTTTTTCCAGGTACCAAAAGTTATACTACAGAAAGATTTGAGCTGTTTTCCCCACAACTAACTGGTCCACCATTCACTTTGTTTTTACCTTGCTTTGTCTCCTTAGTTTGTTTCCTTAAGCTCTCCATCCATATTCTCTGACACTCTGTCAGTTCATCGCCGGTGACACAATTCCCCTTCTGTAAAGAGGTAAGGTAGATGACTACATCTTCCAGGTCATTATTACTGATAGGCACATTAGTCTGGAAAAGAGCAGAGAGCAAGAGTAGCATTGTTTACAAGAATACCTCATCTGGGCACCCCATTCGTTGCATTCCAAGGCTGGGAACCACCTCAGTACTTAACATACACTCCAGGTAAAATAGCAAAGCAGTTTATTGAAGAATATATATAAAAAGCAATTCAGCAAAAAGTATTAAGAACCGAAGTCAAATATCAAGAATAATCCACATAAATCATAGTACAGGAGTAGCATCAAAAACCAGGAATACAAAAGCAGAATAAATCCAAAACAGGAGATTCAGGAACAATCCTCAAAACTTGGAATCATGAGACATGAACAAAACAAAACGTGGAACAGGAAACTAGGTATCCCTTGACTTGACAGTAGTTCTGTACTCAAACACCAATGTTGCCTGGACTGACGGACCCATTTGTTGGGCTAGCTAATATAGAGAGAAAATCATGCCTTCTCCCTGGGAAACTGATAAGAACTTCTTGTCCTGAGAAGCTCTATGTTAACAAAACGTAAATCTCCTATCTAACTGCTCATTAGTCTGTTCACCTGGACTTTCATTTTCATCCTCTGAACTCCGAACTGTTACTGACCTTGCTTCCCTAGCATTTCAGGAATATTTATTTATTTATTTATTTATTTACTCCTTTTGTATACCGCCTATATCAGCCAGAAAAGGCGACTCTAAGCGGTTTACAGTAAAATGTGCAACATTGAACAATACATGAGACAAACATCGACAAACAATACACATAACGTCATCACGCCTCGAATAGAATCAGATCCAATCTCACAGTCGTTTTACCATTCCTTGTTCAGTATGCCGTCTATCTGAGTCAGATGTTATTGCATGCTTATCCGAACGCCTGTTCGAAGAGCCACGTCTTAACCCGCCTCCTAAACGCCAATAGCGAAGGGGCCTGCCTGATCTCCGCTGGTAGTGCATTCCATAGCCGAGGGGCCACCACCGAGAAGGCCCTGTCCCTCGTCCCCGCCAGCCGCACTTGTGATGCTGGCGGGACCGAGAGCAGGGCCTCCCCGGACGATCTTAACATCCTCGCCGGTTCGTAGGCGGAGATGCGTTCGGAGAGGTAAGTGGGGCCGGAACCGTGTAGGGCTTTATAGGCTAAAGCCAGCACCTTGAATTGTGCTCGGTAGCAAATTGGCAGCCAGTGGAGCTGGCTCAACAGTGGAGTGGTGTGCTCCCTGAGAGCCGCTCCGGTTAACAACCTGGCTGCCGAGCGCTGGACCATCTGAAGCTTCCGGGCAGTCTTCAAGGGCAACCCCACGTAGAGCGCGTTGCAGTAATCTATGCGGGATGTGACAAGAGCGTGGACTACCGTGGCCAAGTCCGACTTCCCAAGATACGGGCGCAGCTGGCGCACGAGCCGAAGCTGTGCAAATGCTCCTCTGGAAACCGCTGAAACTTGGGGTTCCAAGCTTAGCGAAGAATCCAGAGTCACACCCAAGCTGCGAACCTGCGTCTTCAGGGGGAGTGCGACCCCGTCCAACACAGGCTGTAACCCTATACCCTGTTCGGCCTTCGACTGACCAGGAGTACCTCTGTCTTGTCTGGATTGAGTTTCAATTTGTTCACCCTCATCCAGTCCGACACAACGGCCAAGCACCGGTTCAAATGTGTCTGGTCCAGAGTGGGTGGAAAGGACTGACAGTTGGACGTCATCTGCGTACAGATAACACCGCACCCCGAAACTCCGGATGATCTCTCCCAACGGCTTCATGTAGATGTTAAACAACATGGGGGACAGTATTGAACCCTGCGGGCCCCCACAAGTCAATGGTTGTGAGGACGAGCAGTTGTCCCCCAGTAACACCTTCTGGGTACGATCCTCTAGGAAGGACCTGAGCCACTGTAAAACAGTGCCCCCCAGGCCCATTCCCACGAGGCGCCCCAGAAGGATACCGTGGTCGACGGTATCGAAGGCCGCTGAGAGATCCAGCAGAACCAACAGAGACACACTCCCCCTGTCAAGTTCACGCCGGAGATCATCGACCAAGGCGACCAAGGCTGTCTCGGTACCATGCCCCGGCCTAAAGCCAGACTGCGCCGGATCCAGATAATCAGTGTCTACCAAGAATGCTTGGAGTTGTGAGGCCACCACACGTTCCAGGACTTTGCCCAAAAAGGGGAGATTGGAAACAGGCCGATAGTTGACGAATTGAGTGGGCCTTCAGACACAGACCACTCATTTTCTGGCTCTCTTGCTGACTTGCTGACCCAAAATCCCCAGTGTCATCAGAATGACTAACAGGCCCAGAATCCTCAGAGAGATCAGGTGCAGGCACAATCAAAGGCTGAACTGCAACACCATTAGTCAGGGTGTATACTATTGTCCTGCTCTAGCTATACCCATAAACATACACCCTGATCCAGTCAAGCGAATGTGTAAATGTATAAATTATAAGAGAAATCACACAGTCCCATTTGGTTACAAGAAGCATAAATCTCCCTTACACACTTTTTATTAGTGGTACGTGAAAAAGATGATAATTTTATCTGTACAATAGTCCTGCAAGGTACAAAAGGTTGAAAAATAATTGGCCCAAGGTCATATGTGTACCATAAGAGAGAGGGGGGTATGTATGTATGTAAGTATGTATATATACATGTAGTGGGCAGAAGCAGAATTGCTTTCTTATGATTCTAGTAACTGATCCAACCTTTCCACTTTTGACTCTTCCTCAAAAAAAACTGCAAAGATACTGAGTTATTAGCTCTATTTGGAAATCTGGTCTGGCTACAACACTACAAGCTGGATCCAAATGAAGTTATGCTTCCATAAAGTTCTACTGAGATGACTACCTTAAACTTTACTGATTACAACAGATATACACTAAGTGTGTTGGTTCTGATTGCCTTTGTCTGGCCAATGATTTTTTCTGCCCATGAAGTGAAATGATGTTAAACACTTGTTCAACAAAAAGAAGGGAGGTATAATTTAAAGTCATATTGCTTTAACAGTTCAATTTTTCCTGATTCACCACTAACATAAAACCCTACATTTTTCTACCTACCGCTTGGATTATTCTGATGATATCAGCTCTCTTGAACTTCATTGTGTTGGTCCTGTCAGCTTTGTTAAAGATGTCCACAAGCTTCATTTTCTGCTTATGCAGAAGGTTCTGCAGTGTCTTGAGGGACTCAGGATAGGGCATTGTGATAAGAGGAATGGTTTTATATCGTTGTCTCTTTGGCATCAGGTGCTGAAAGGAAGCAAAACATTTTTAAAAGACCAAAGTTAAATTTATTTAGTAATATCCTACATTTCCTCCAATGAGTTCAAGGTAGCATGCCTGGGTATCATTATCCTTCCCATTTCAAGTTCACAACTACCTTAGGAAGTGGGTCAGGTCGAGTAAGGGACTGGTCAAAGGTCACCCAGTGAGTTTTATGGTTCATTGGAGAACCATAAAATTTCTCAGTCCCAATACAGCACTATAATCACAAGGGTCCCCTCAATGAATTACACTGATTCATATGTAAACTGTTGTAGGATCTACACCTCTCAACATGTGGGCCTCCAGGTTTTCATGGGCTGTATGAAAATGGAACAGTATGAAAATCTCAGAAATGGATCTTGACACAATAATAAAATAGAAGGTAGAGAAGGAGAAAGAAATTATGGGATTCATATACAAAAAAATCACGGTGAATCAATACAATAAAAATAAAACATAAAGATTAAGGAAATGCAATGAAAAGACACAATTCTTCGTCCAAAAAATGGGAGGGCAATGGGGGACTTAAAGAATGGGAGGAAATAATAAAATACATGTCAGATGGAATTAAAGCCTCAGTTGCTCTAGGCCGGAAGGACTAAAAGAAACAGGATATAAAAACTTGGTATAAATATCTAGCTGACTACCTATTTCAAGACTATATTAGTGAAGGTACAGGTTATTACAGGATGGGCCAAATCACAAGACCTGGGAAGCAAAATGGAAGAGTCTCATTTCCAGAATAAAGGGGAAAGATAAAAATAAGGAAATAAATAAGACTATCCTAATGACTGGTGAATTATAATAAGCCTAGCAAGATTAGTAAACTTTCCCAGGGAGAGTGGGGAGGGGGAAGGAGGGGAAATGATGTAAAATGGAATACAGCAGTGATTCTCAACCTGTGAGTCCCCAGATGTTTTGGCCTTCAACTCCCAGAAATACTAACGGCTGGTAAACTGACTTGGTTTTCCGGGAGTTGTAGGCCAAAACACCAGGGAACCCACAGGTTGAGAATCACTGGGATACAGGATGATGAAGAGTGCTCTCAAACTCAATACAGAAAACAAGGAGGTGGGAAATTCATATTATATTCAGTCTCAGACCAGAGACTGCACCGAGATCCCCCTGTCTGCAGTTATCCTTTATGCTACCCCTAAAAAAAATGCAATGCAAAGATACAGAGTGGG